TTCTCTAATGACGTGTATTCTCCACTCAGCTACATTAATGAATGATGATTTTACAAACTGACCATTATATCACACAATTAAATATACTACATCTCACTAAGTTGTTGGTATGTTCTCATTAAAGGAAGCTGGGTAGATGATCGGAGACATGGCTATGGAGAATATACGTACGCAAATGGAGACACCTATGCTGGAGAATGGTTTAACGGCAATAGGTTTGTTTCATTCTTATGATGATGGTTGAAGTCATCCTCTGCAGAATCACAATATGATGGCTATTTCAAAGTGTGGCTGACTGCAGCTAATCAAGTGCTACTGGATGGTATTTGCAAGTTAGCCCGACTTCAGCCATTTCAGCCACTTAAAAAATACAGTTTTAATACCTTAAGTATAACAACATCCTATGTTCTTCATATTCCATAAAATAAAACAATTTTTCTTCTCCCTAGGCATGGACAAGGTACATACATCTATAAAGAGACTGGATCTATGTATGTTGGTGGTTGGGTAAATGGAATACAGGAAGGAGAAGCAGAGCTTATCCACCTAAATCACAGATACAGGGGCAAGTTTTTGGATGGAATTGTAAGTGTGCTAGAAAATGCTCAATTACTTTGAACAGTTAGCATAAAACTTTCTTAATAGGATTTATTTGCACTTAAAATGACAAGCTAGATCCTGTTCTTGTGTAGTATTTCTTGTACCATCAATGTAGCAGATGAAACTGAGTTGATCTGCAAGGTAGAAAGCCAAGTGTCTGTAACTTTGCTTTCAAACAGTATTACAGAATCACAGAATGGTTAAGGTTGGAAGAGACCCGTAGAGATAATCTCCAACCCCCTGATCAAACTGGGACACCCAGAGTAGGTTGCCCAGAACTGTGTCCAGGCACGTTTTGAAGATCTCCAACAAGGGAGATTTTACAGCCTTTCTGGCAACCTCTGTCAATGCTCTATTACCTTCACAGCACAGAAGTGCTTCCTGGTGTTCCAATGGAACCTCTTGTGTTCAATTTTGTACCCATTGACACTTGTTCTGGCACTATGCACCACTGAAAAGAGCATCACTCCATCCTCTTTGCATCCTCCCTTCAGATAGTTATAGACACTGATGGGATTCCCCCTGAGCTTCCTCTTCCTCAGGCTGAACAGTCCCAGCTCTCTCAGCCACTTCTCACAGGGAAAGTGCTTCTGTCCCTCGTTCATCTTTGTGGCCCTCTGTTGGACTTACACCTGCATGTCCGTGTCTCTCCAGTTCAGTATTGTTATTGACTAATGTATGAATTTTGTAGTAAAGCCCATTTTATATTTACACGTGTAGAATTTCTTAATTTTATAGTTCTACTGATTTCTTTGCATCTCTTTGTGCAGCCTGTCGGTCGTGGCAAATATATCTTTGACATTGGATGTGAACAGCATGGTGAATACATACGGTCAGAGGAGGTAAAAAAAAAATGTAATGGTGTACTGCGTATCAAATAATTCAGTAACTACTGTTGATCATCATATAAAACACTTTAACATCAGTACATATAGGGTATCCTAGATCTATCCAGTCAAAAAAGGGTGCAAATTTGTGCTTTCTTCAATACTAAATAAGGTTTCATTCTGCTTTTTAAATTTATCTTCTCCACTGTGTAAGCTTAGACAACTATATGATGTGATTTTTGCCGTGCTTGCAGACAGGAATCTGTCTGCTTTCTTCTTAAACTTCAGAAGAATCAGGACTTGCCCAAAATATTTTAGGTTTATGTGGTTTTAAACTACACGAACATAGATATTTGTCTGTAAATTTAACTGGTGTTCCACTTTGTTCTGAACACCAGAAAACAAAGAAAATATTTATTATTGTATTTCTGAATTGCTTGATGCTACATCTGCAAAAGGTGATTTGCAAAAGGTTCTTGTTTTGGAAACATGTCCATCGTTTTCCTGGTCCTGTAAGAAGCATAATTTCATAGCAACTAATTGTAGAAGTAGCTGGGATGAGGGCTCGTTCTTAATTCTCCTTCGCTCATGAACTTTTCTAAGTCTTTCTGATTAATATGATACAAAATAGATATCACAATAAGAAATGTATCTTAATATTCTGATTCCAAGAAAATATTACACATTATACCTGAGCTTTATACCTCTGATGTCCAGCATATTAACTCCCATTACATGCTCTATAAAAATTCTCTGCTACAATATTTGTTTCATGATATAATTTCACTAACTTTCAACTTTCTACTACTACATACATTTTACCTTTTCCAAAATTTTCTTTTTTATTTTTCTGGCTCTCTACAATGGATCTGTAATTTTTTATCAGTGGTATTTGGCTATTATCTTAAAAAACAGAACAATATTCCTTTGAGAGAAACCATGCTTGAGTAGGTCCCTCTCAGCTATTCTGTTTGAGGGAGAGACAAAATTTTATCTTTAAGAAAGAAAACTGGCAAGCATAGATCATCAGTATTGGTCAGCCAGATTCAACAAGGTTCAAAGCATAGTTTTCTTGCAAGATTTGCTGTTGAATTTCCTCCTTTTGTCAGTGCTTTAAAAGACTGTCATGTTGCCATTTGAGCCCAGGTAAAGAGCTTTTAATGTACAAAATCATCTTAACTACTCCTTTAATACTTGTAAGAAGAGACCTTGGATGTTGAGAATTGTCTTTTAGGATAAAGGAGAGGAAGAAGAAGAGGAGGAGCCCTCTTTACTTGCTGCACCAAAGTGGAAAGCAACAGAAATCACTAAATTAATACAGTGGATGCCCAACGTGGAAAAAGCACCTTCTCCCAGTGAAGGCCCCCCAGCAGCAGCAGGAGAAACAGCAGCAGCAGATGAAGCAGTGGAAGAAACATCAGCAGACGAAAAAGACAAAATACAAACAAACCCAGGTTTGTTCTGTTGGACATCTAGAAACCCTGTGTTTTGACTATCCTGTGAAACCATGTTTTTAAAATTTAATTACTGTGAGAGGGATTTTTTTTCTCTCACATTTTTCACCCTACACTTAATATTGAGGATTTCTAGGCCTATCTGTAAAAGTGACAGTATATATATGCATCTTTTCTATCTCACATAGCATAAGGTACAACTATCTTGGGAAGTCTGTGAATCATTTTAGTCTATGTTATCACCTCTTACACAAACTTGATTATAAATTGTTGCAAAAATATGTATGGGTTCTCTCACATGAGTAAAGTCTGAAGAATTCAGTCAGTTATTAATTGTGGCATGAAAACAATGTCTGAGTGTAAATTTGTAAAAATAAGTTTTCCTCAAATTTTCTAATTTCTCGTATTTCAGTCATTGACGAATCTGCTGAACACAGGGATGATATGCCTTCTCTTCATAAAGTATCCAGTGAAGTTTTCAGCCCAGCAAAGGATGCAGAAGTAGAAGATGAGGAAATAAGGGAAGAAGAAAATGAAGAAGGAGAAGAGTACCAAGGTGAGGAATGATGGAGATTTGCTTCTTCTTCCTTGCTCAATCAGGTTTGGAAACGATGCATGTCAATTGGCTGCTGCTGGGAGGCCCATTCTCAGGCTAAAGAAAACACGGGAACTCTACCTTTTGTCACAGGATAGAGCTCCTCTAAAGCTGTAAACTGGTTTTGAGTAGTCAAATTCATATATTTAACAGTGATATAAATGTACAGTGATAAAAGAGTACAAATCAGTGATACTGCAGTGCAGCACTACCTGTGCAATACAGAGCTGACAGTACTTGAAGAGCTGAGTCTAAAAGTGATCACATTTGCAAGCTTCCTTTTGTAAAAAACATGAGAGTAGACTGGGGAATTCAGGTATTTTTGAAACATGATTTTTCTATCATGAATAGAACTGTATGTTCTTGTCCTCCCAAGTTAAATAAGAAATAAGTCTTAGGTATTGTTACACATTATGATTTGGAGACACAAAGGCTAGTATCTCATTGATTGTTCTTAAAAGGCAAAGAGCTTTGCAATTTGGATGCTCAGATTTTCCTCCAGGCAGTTTGGAATCCTGTTTTTATAAAAAATTACAAAAAGGCAACATGAAAGGAAGCATCTGTGTTTACCCATACATAACTTATAAGCCTCCATTCAACTGTGTTTTTTCATTTGTTAAATGTTAACATTTACAAACTTCTGATGTAGGAAAACATTAGATAAATTTCTCCATCTGTAGTCAACACATTTTATAATAAATCAGAGCAAAGCACTGTCTATAGTGATCAGAAGGACTGTAAAAGAACCTTGAAAATTACATAGAGGTACAACATAAACATTAAGGACAGGTCTTGGAATTCTGTTAATTTATTTGATCTCATTTTTCACTCATCACCTCTGAATGTAATCTCTTGCTTCAGCACAGACTAGCCAACAAGATGATCAGGTGTATAGGACTGACATCTTACAGGATCCCTCAGCTGATCCAGCAGAAATCAAAGCAGGGTTCCTGTGTAGCTCTGCTTTGGATCTGGCAAGAGTTCATTGAGCTTGATTTGTCTCAAAGTCTGCTGGACTCAAATGATTTTTTATTGAACTTGATTCTAACAGATCTTCTGGCCTACTACAGTAAAGTAGATCTGATATCCTCATTGTTTTTTTTATTAGTAGTAGTAGTATTTTTTCAAGGGCAGCTTTCTATGAAAATCCTCTAAATAGGAGATGTTCTTTAGCTATTCTGAGTTACATATGGACTGGCTGGCAGTTAGTGTGTGTGTAGAGAGTCTGTCTGACAGCTAAGAAACAATTTATGTCAGTTAAGTTCAAAAATTGGCAGCAAAGGCCAGTAGGAAGGAGGACTGGGGTAGACAGAGTGATTCTGAAATTATGTTTTAAGCTACTAGAATTGCTTTCCAGTATTTTATTATAAAATATATTTCAGTTTTCTGTTTATTTTTTTTTAAACTTTGCCTCTACAGGAACTGCTGGTTTAGAAGATGAGGAGGAATCAGAGGAAGCAGAGTAATTGGATACAACTAAAGACAAATATAGGCAGAAAAGGAAATTGCAGAGTAAATAATTGGTTAAGGTAAACCTACAACAATATTTTTATTTGTATCTTTGTTATTTTTTGAATAAACATTTCTGTTACTGTTCTATCTGGAATATACCTCTCCAAAACTTTTACAATCCCAGAGTGTGCCATCTCAGGACCACCTCATTCCATAGTGGCAGGCAGTTGTTGAATTCAATATGGGATGATTCTGGATCTATAAATTTGAGTCCTCACACATTCATGGAATCAAAGTTTTGAAACACTTGGCATGATAGTTCTAAGGCAGAACATATATGCATCCAATAACTGACTGAACCACTTGTCCCTGTAGTAATTAGGTTGCTTTTGGAGACCTATTTCATCTCTTCACAGGAAGACAGATGATTTTCAAACCTGATGAATACATCAGTATTGCCCAAAACTTCAGAACATCATATCCATCCAGAACATCCATATCCAGGGAGTTAGTTAACATGCTCAAATATGGTCTTAGAATCTTTTATGTTGGAAGTGAACTCAAGAACTCCAGCTCTGTCTTTATCTACTATCACTGGACAACCAAGTATAGAGCCACATTACTTACTTACTGTAAGCTGTTACCACTGTTCTCCAAGATACCAAGCTCAAATCTCTCCTTACCTGATTTGCAAACCTGTTGGCAGAGATACTGTTATTCCACTTTGTTAAATGGCTTCTGTACTTCCTTTTTCCTCCAAGACTGACCCACAATGATGGAAGTTGAAGCACTACCTTTAGCAACGGCCACATTATCAGTGGTTAATACCCAGGATTGATCTTCTCCTATTTGACCTTTTCCAATTGAGGATGAAGGAGATATCCTGTGGGTTCCTACGTCCTTTGCCAGAATCCTGTAGTTACTCTTATTTTGCTCCAGGTCTCCCTCAGTAGCATAATTGATATTCACACCAATGAGCAAACAAGGAGGTAATGGTCATTGGACAGGATGAGTTTCAGCCATGCTTCTACAATACCCACAGTCTGGTCACTTGTCAAGCAGCAAACCTCCCACGACAGCATATCTGGTACACAGACAGGTGTCTCTATCCCCTACTGGAGAGGACCTCCAGTTTCTAACACTTGCTGTTTCTCTTTAGTGTTGATGCTTCATATGGGGCCAGTTAGCTTGGAACCTCCCTTTACATCCTCTGTTCCCCTCCCATGGCTACTGGGCCTCAATACCAACTCTCTACATCCAGGTCTGAGCAGCAATGGTGGAACATTTCTCCTGCTGCCAGAAGTTATGAACTTTAACAAGCTCCGGGAAGAATCCTTCCAACACTCCACCCAGTCCAGCCCCTAGACATCACCTCAACCTCACAAGTCAGGCTTTTGCTTCTAGAGAGACCCTGCTGATACCTCATTTGCCCTCCTTACTGATATACAGTCTTCACACCTCCTACAAGTCTTTTATGCAATAATGCAACATCTAAATCACTACACAGAGCCTCACCAAGAGACACCAACTCAGATTGTGGATACAACATCCCCCTGCCCAATCCAGGTCTAGACTGACACTACTTTGCCAAGGATATGTATTTTCTCTTTTGGTGGCAGAGGTCAGGCCCAGCAGCTCATGATTGTTGGTGAGCACAGTCTCACACTGACTGGATGAAAGTTTCTGCCTTCACTCAGCACCCAAACAGCACCTCCTCCTCAGCCCCCAAAAAACAAACAACTAAAAAAACAACAAACAAACAAACAAACAAAACCAAACACCAAAAAATCCACCACCACACACAAAAATAACCAAAACCAAAACAACAAAAAACTCCAACCATCAATCCCTAATGAGCAGGAACCTGTCACTCAGAATAGAGCTACCAGGAGATTTCAGCTGAAGAAGGCCTCCAGAAGCTACCAGAATTGAATCAAATGACATCCTATAAACAATAAGTTAAAAGTAAAGAGCAAGGTAGAGCTGCACAAAATACTGTGAAAGCAGTATTTGTTATAGATATATATTTTACACTTCTTCAGGTGGAAAAAAAAAAAAAAAGCTGCTCTGAAACATTGTTTTCCTGATAATATATAAATGAAACCTTAACCATTAAGAGATGCATCTGTTTAATTGACTTTCTTATACTTCTGAGAATACTGGTATGAATGTTGATGGACTTGGAGTTTGAGGCAGAATGTTGCTGCCCTGCAGCAGTTTGCTTTTGAAGTGAGGTAACTGGTTTGGGCCTGATTAGGGTAAGAGATGTTGAGCTGGCATTGCTGAAACAGGACTTGAATTTTTTTTATTCATAAATTTTCCTTTGGGGGAAAATAAAGGAAAACTTTTAACAAGTTCCTTTTCTCTACAACTCAACAACTCCAGCAAAGATATGCCAAGAAGTTTAAGCTAGTGATAAATATGGATTGAGATAAAATGGGGGTAGTGAGGTGAGTCACACGAAATAAATAGAGTTTATTACTTCTTCCCGAAATGTTTCTCCTATCAGAAATGTCACAGTGAGAAATTTTCCATGCAGACTTTTCCTCAATGCCTTACATGTGTTTTTTTTTTTTTATTTTTTGGCAGTTTCTTCTCACATAATTGTGACTTCAGTAAGCACTTTTAGAGGTGATTGCCTTTTCCTCTTTTGGCTTTCTTTGGTGAAGAGAAGTGCAGTGTTATTACAATAGTTTGATCAAAGCATACTTGGCTTAGTAATTTTTTATTTGTAATAAAAACTTACACATCATTAGTTTACCAGCTGTTTACTCACTATATTTTACTGTAAATTTGAGAAACATCAACATAATGTATTTCCCAGTTCAATTCCATTTAAAGGTACTCTTCAGCTCAAGAAGAGTTAATTCTTGAAGGATTTAGGAAATTACCTTTTCCCCTTCAACACCCAGTGCTGTAGCCTTTATTAGTACATTAGTGACCTCCAGTGGCAAAGCTGCGAAAAGTGCAAACTGTCTAGAATACAGCTAAAAACATCTGGAAGCCTCTATGGGTTAGAAAGGGCTCCTGAGAAGTTGGTTTACTTCTTAGGGAAAACAGTGCTTTTGTAGAAGAAGGCATTTCATTTCACTGTAACTTTCAAAAATACCGTAAGGATAATTTGTAAAGTCAGTAATTCCTTCATCCCTATTTTGGAGAGAAACACCTGACCAAAAGTTGTTGCACTGAGGTGTGCTAGTCTCTCTCATCCTTCTGCCTCTTCACTTTTCAGCAATGAAGAAAGACAACAGTAGTCATGTTTGAGACCTGAATAATATGCTGAGTATAAGAATCAGAAAACACAGTCATATTTCACTTGCAGAGCTGTCTCTTCCCCAGAGATAGGATTCTTTCCACAGTGAAGAAGGAAGCTCACCAAGAGAGCTCATTGCAGCTAAAGAAGGCACCTGGAGTTCTCAAGTCCATCTCATACCAAGAAAGTCTGGAGCACACGTACTTCCTGAAAGTGTAAATATTTTAAATTCCTTCAGAGAGATGCCTATTTTACATTCACAGCTGGGGAAACAAAACAAAACAAAAAATGGTTTAATTGGAAGAGACCTTATGGACCATCTAGTTCCAACCTCCTGCCATGGGCAGGGACATCTTCCACCAGATCAGACTGCCAAGAACTTGTTCAACCTGACCTTGAGCAATGCCAGTGATGGGACATCCACAGTTTCTCTGGGCAGCTTCTGCCTGCACCTCATAAGGAATTTCTTCCTTATGTCTAATCTTAACCTACTCCCTTTTGTTTTTAAACCATTATCCCTTGTTCTACTACTACATGCCTTTGAAAAAGATTTCTTGCTCTTTTTCTTATGATCTCCCCTTCAATTATTAAAAGACTGCAACAATTTACCCACATATACACCCCAAAAGGTGATGTCCTCTTGAAACGGTCCTTGGTAGCCTTCCCTATTCAGCCTGTAGGCTCAGCAAAGAGATTTCCTAAGAGACTTAACAGGACATGTCTATAGAAAGGCAGTGCACACATTGCTGTGTGAACTCTTACACTCACCAAGAACACTAGAGTGCTTTGCAGGTAGCAGCTAAAGGTCCATAAGTTGTAGTCACATTAGTACCAAGCTGTTCCTGAGCTAACTGATGCTATTATTAACTAGAGTGAAAAAATGTCTGCATTGTTCTGAGAGTGTTTGTCCATGTGTGGCACGGACACAAAGATCTCTGTGCAAATCACTACTAAGCCATATGGGCAGGTGAAGAGTGAAACTACAGCAAAGAAGATGGTATTTTGCCTTTCAGCCCTGCAAAAGAACAGATAACTAGAGAATCTGCGATTTTACTTGTAAGTACATTCATTATTCTTCCATCCAGAATACATGGTATGGCTCCATTCATGAAGGAGAGCAATTGTTTATGATGCATTTGCCAACCTACAAAATCACAAATTCACTGGCAGAGGCATTTACACAAATGACTCTTCAGAGGCTTTTAAAATAGCACAGTTACTTTCAAGTACTGTACAATTTCTGAGCCTCCCTCAAGTACAGTGATGCAGTGGATGATATTAAATTGAACACCGCAGTGTAAATTAACAACTTTTGACACAAGTTCTGTGTGATCATAAAGCCCCATTTCTTAAATACATCTGGCTTGCTATTTTTTTTTCAAAAAGACCAATGCTTCAGAAAGCTTCTTTTGAGTAAGCTGGTACTTTCAATAAGTTGGTACTGCTAATAGGTTATACTTCATGTTTTATATTGCATTGTATTATTTATTCAGTGTTCAAGCCCACAGGTAACAAGAGAAACCTAGCAGACACCTGAGAAGCAATGTTTTAGCAACTAAAAAAGTTAGGGTAAAATGAGCTCCAAAAGACAGAAATAAAGTCATTATATTTTAAATGTATTCTGTCAAAATTATATTGGTGAATTTACATAAACAAAGCTGCAACATAAAGTCCTGCAGTGGATTAGAAAATACTAGTATGTTACCAGCATCTCTATTTGCTTTTCCCCTCCAGCAAAATATGAGCACCAGTGTGCTTCAGATTTAAGCTCTTGTTCTCCAGATATTTAATTACACAAGTAGTTCCATTACGGAGGCACCTTTGGGTTAGTCGGGTTGAATGTTTTTTATCATCATGCTCCTATTTTTATTTTTTGTGAGAGGTAGGAGATGCTGCATCCTGAGTTTCCTTACCAAGAGTAAAGGAAGCTCAGGAAGATGCCAGCTAGAGGTTTCTCACAGGTTTTCTCCATGGGAGTATGCAGAGGCCATGTCTACACAGGTATTCAGCACTGACTTTGTGCTATAAGACATTCCTAAGAACTACACCAGCTTTGGGGAAATGTTGGCACCGGGGTACCAGGCTTGTTTTCCAAACCCATCAGCCTCAGGACAGTAAAATTCTCATGAGCTCCTTCTGTTAGAAGTCCATAATATCTTTCCCCTCCAACTGAAAAGAGCATGGAGAAATAGCCACTAAGTTATTTATTTAACTTGAGAGTTTCTCATGGTAGTACAAAATGGTGTAGCATGGACCCATAAGTCATCCATAGGGCCCGAGCTCTAAGATAAGCACCCATGAACCTACCAGTTATCTTTGCTCCCAGGCCAGTATGGAGAGAGTGCTCCTATGTTGCCCCCTCACAAAAGAAAATGGGACTTTCGGGTCTTTACCACAGCTTTTAAATGCTTTCTCAGTTTGTCATCTGAACTGGCCCATTGCTTAACTGGGGTCACAGATTTGAAGGTTTGTGTTAAATAGCAAAACTATCAAATGAATGCAGACAACAATATTGATGGTTGATTCCCTTTTGGGAAGTACAGAAGCTTAAGTAAGAAGAGTGTGAATATCAAAAGCAGATTGGCAGGATCTGAAAGAGATCTGAAAACATCTATTTCAGCAGACACGGCCTTGCAGATGGATTAGTGGGCTTACTAGCCTATGCTGTTCCAATCTTAAAGGCCTAAGCCAAACCATTCTGTGATTCTATGATTCTGTGGACTGCAGAAATGGAAGAGAACAGGTGAATGGACATTTGCTGCTGCCAGAAGATGCTGAAGCTACTTTTGGACATAGCAGACTACTGGGAATTTGCTTCCCAAGCAAAGTCCGATGCTTGGGGAAAGAGTGAGGCTGCAAGACCCACTGGGAATTTCCTCCACAAGACATGCAGCAAACAATAAGAACTGCAAATCCAGGGCTAGTTATCAGCTCCTCAAGCTTCACACAATAATTGCTTTGATGTTACGATTAAAAGCCAGAATATTGCTGAAGGATACAGGTACTGAACACAATCCTAAACCAGATGTTAGAGTCAGTTGGCCTCTACAGACCCTCTGTGAAAGGTATAAGATCTCCACAAAAAGATGGACTGTAAAATTTGATGATTCACTAACTCCTTCATATGCACCAGAGAACAATATTCTGTTTGTTCAAAACTTTTATGCTGTTCCCAAATCCAAAAGGCACGAACATTTTAATTTTTAATCATCCATTAAAAAAAAAAAAAAAAGATCAAGGGCAGATCCACCAAAAACTGCTTCATACAATCTTTTCAAAAATTATCCTTATGCTCCAGAGTATTTCAGTAATAAATCCTCCAAGACAGTCAAAAATCTACCTGACAGCTTTAATCAATGCTTGATGACTTAAAATGGTACAAAGGGAACAGAAATAACTACTGTTCTGAGTCAACAGATTTTCACATTTGCTTTGAACAAATATCAGTGCTGGCAAAGGGCTTCAGAAAAATCAGGACAGACACCACAGATTTGCTCTTCTGTTTTTCAGAAGAACTGGACTCAAGTGTCTCTTCAAGTTGTGTGCTTAAAATCGTGATTAATGATGAATTTCTTTGTTACTGTCTTTTCAAAGAGTGACTAATCTAGTGTTCCTCATCCTTGTGAAAAAACAATAGGTGTCGCTTTGCTCCCCCCCCATCCTTCAATCACACCTAAAGAGCCTATGTAGGCAGTAAGGCTGAGGTTTTCTTTTCCCACAAGGTGTCACCAGAGATTAACTTCACTGTACATCTTTAACAAAATTTACATATTCAGTTTTTAAGACAAGCAAAGCATTCAGATCTTCTATGTGCTACTAGAATTACCTGCTCTTGTAATTACCTATTACAAAGTATACAACTTTGTAATGAAATAGATCCAACTAAAGAAAATGACAATAGGGTAATATTTAATTTTGTAGCTGCATGAAAAAAAATCAAGAAACCGTAAAGGGATTTTCCATTTCTTTTGCTTACTACAAAAAATGAAATGAAATGAAATGAAATGAAATGAAATAAAATAAAATAAAATAAAATAAAATAAAATAAAATAAAATAAAATAAAATAAAATAAAAGCTTTACCTGTATTCAGCAATTTATTTCATATGATGAACACATCCCATCAGGAATTCTGTCTCTCTTCTAAGCACCAGTTTTTACAACTAAAAATCCTTGTAGATTCTTAGATTGTAGGTTGTAGAAGAAAGATATAATTGCAGCTCTGATCCTACAAAATGTTTTTTGGAGCTGAGTCTATGCTCATATGGGGTTGTAGGAAAGCCCAAAAAGGGGAACTTGTGAGTAGAAGAGCTTATCCTTGCCCTTTCATTGAGCTTCGGATACAATTGCCACTTCTGCTGCCTGTTCAGTTAATTTGGATGACTGAAATAAAATCTGTATAAGCTAAAACAAAACTTTGCAACAAAACTTTTCTCCTCTTCTGCTCAGCAGTGCAGTATGAGGTTTAGAAAACACCACAAGAAAAATATGCAAGTCCCCAAATCCTCTTTCCTACATGCTCTGAGGTTTAATTCGCTGCATTCACCACATTCAAAATTATTGGAGTGCATACGTAGTGAAAAACAATACACTGTCTTTTTCTGTGTGCAAATGTCTTAATGACATTCCTACCAAGCATATTTGGTTTGCAGATGGGTTTCTTGGTGCTCTGTGGGCTCTCTGCATGATAGAACTGAGTAAATTTGTTGAATTCTTTCGCTATGCCCCCACCTGTAAGGAAAGCCCTGCCAAGCAGTGCTTACCAACTTAGTAACATGAACAGGAGTAGAGAGCAATAAACTGGTTATAAGAAGCATTCTGCAGGTGGAGAGGCATGAAAAGCAAAGTATTTCATTACTATGTTGTGTGCAGTGGTAAAAACACAAGGGAACTGTTCAAAGAAAAAGGAAGACACTGTACCTGCAGATCACCCTCCTAGTGGAGCCACACAGAAAATTGATCTGATGCTGCTGGATGCTGCTCCCATGCATCAGCCTGGAGAAGAGAAGGCTGCGGGGCGACCTCATTGCAGCCTATCAATACCTGAAGGGAACCTACACGCAGGAGGGGAGTAAACTCTTCAGAAGGGCTGATAACAGCAGGACTAGGGGAAATGGATCAAAGTTGAAGGAGGAAAGATTTAGGTTGGATGTTAGGGGGAAGTTCTTCACAAGGAGAGTGGTTAGGCCCTGGAACGGGCTGCCCAGGGAGGTTGTGGATGCCCCGTCCTTGGACGTGTTCAAGGCCAGGTTGGACGGGGTCCTGGGCAACCTGATCTGAATGTGTATGTTTGGTGGCCCTGCTAGGCAGGGGGGTTGGAACTACATGATCCTTGAGGTCCCTTCCAACCCAGGTGATTCTGTGTGATTCTGTGTGATTAAGACAGGGCCATTTCTCCATCTGGAGGCTGCATTCCTAGAAAAAAGCTCAATACAGAAGCCCACACAACGCCATCACGCACACCCAGCCACAGCCCCCGACACCCCCCTCTTACATGTGGGCTTTGGTCTGCAGTGGCAGCTCTGGCCTCACATATTCTCCAGTGGTACCTGTGCAATCACTTGGTGAAATCAGAATAAATCTCACCAAAAGCAACAACATTCACAGATAGGAAGATCCCATGGGAGGGCAATGAAGTGGGAGCTGGTACTTCAGCTGAAATGAAGCTGGAAGCACCATGGAATAACATGCCCAGGGCCAGGTCCTCATCCCATGCTACTCCTGACCCTTCAGTGTCCAAAGCGATTTAAAAGAACAGGAGCCCAAGCATTCCTGATGGATCTGGGAAACCAAATTGAATGATTTCAGGTGCAAGACTGAGACAGGAGATCTCCATGCCATTGCTAAGGGAGGTTGGTGGGTGTCTGTGTGGTGTGCTGGATGGCCTCCCCTTGCGTGCCCTCAGGCTATAGGCACAAGTGGAAAGCTCAACACTGCCCTTTAAGGGCACGTTCCTGTTTGTGCATAAAATGTTGAGACTACATTTTAATCAGACGAATAATCAAGCAAAGAGCTACGGAGACCAGTCAAACAACCCATCTGGCAGTGTGTCACAATTTATATGATTTGGCACAGAGCAGCACACAGCATGGCTGTTGTCCTGCCAGTGCCATCTCAGGAAGTGGTCAGCAGATAGAGTTGCTCAAATCAAGGTTTTGTCACCAGTACAAGTAACACAGGGCATCTTAAAGCAATCAGTTCAATCTTCTCTGAAGGAAAGCCTTTTTTTTTTTTTTTTTTTTGCAACACTGATCACTCTGGAAACAGTGGGAGAATTGCTGTGGTAGAAAATGAACCTATTTTGTAGCAGAGGTAAACATACTGTCTGTATGGTATTTCCCCTCCTCCTGTGCTCTTGCAGAACTGGAGGAGTCAACAGGAAACCAACTGGCCTAGCTGATATCTCCGGGTAGGAGACTGCTTTTTTCAGTCTCTATTTCTCTGCCTGACTGAAAATACAGAAGTGCATGAAACAAGTAATTTTTACTGCATTGAACTGGTTATATTTTGGTCTTGGAAGATGTAATAATGTCTACTAGCGTGCCTTTAGCAGTAGAATTTGCTCTCTTGTATGCCAGGTCCTATGTTCTTTTTCCTCAATTACTGAGAAGAAAGTAAAGTTCAGGCACCAAACTGCTTTCTGTGCTTTGACTACTCAGAGAGGACAACTCTCATCCACTCTTAACTTTTCTAGATGTGTTGCTGGACTGTGCTGTACCACAAGCTATCTTCACCTTGTTTTTGGCAGATGCAAGGACAAAGCTGGCCTTCTAACCTTCCATGATACTATTTCTCCAGTTAAATGCTGCATTTGCTCCATGAGTTAATGTCTTCACTGGAGGGTTAACCATCAGCCATTTCTTCTCCTCTTTGAGCTCTTCACAGAAACACATGCCCAGAGAAGGGATCTAGGAAGGAAGGATACAAGCAGCAGTTACCAGCAGGGTCATTGATTTGGTTTTGCAGCAGAACAGAAGAGCAGATCTGAGACCATTCTGAAGATAGAGCCTGGAACATTTTGCCACTTTCAAAACAAACTGAAAACAGGCTGGATGCCTATAGTGAAACAGCTGAGCTTGTGCCATCACCTTGAGCTCACACTTGGATTTGAAAATCAAGATGTATTCACTCCTTATGCATCAACTGTAGGAAGTAAAATCACGTCTAAAGACTGAATTCTCCTCTTAGTAATACCGAGACAGATGATAAGGAAAACTGAAGTGAAAAAATCTGCCACTGGTGACAATACACAAGTAAAACAAGCAAAAAAACTCTTCAGCAAAGTCTCAAGGGCAAGCCTCGCTTGTGAAGCTGGCAAGAAAAGCCTTCTCTGCTTTGCCCAGTATCTGAGCAATTAAGCTGTGAACTTGCAGTGACCTGAAAATGTACAATTTAAAGAGTCACTGAATATAGCTGCAGTTTATGCTTGTAACTCTATGAGGAGAGGGAAGGCTCTTAGTCCTGCTTCTATAGTTAGGAGGCTCATGCCAGAGGGAGAGGTTTCCACACATACCTCACATGTAGCTGCTGCCTGATACTGATTATGCATGGGTGTTGAATGAAAATCTCCTAATATGTTATTTAACAGGACAAAATTCTTCTCTTGACCACTAGTTCTATGCTAAAACTACACAAGATAGATCCTTTTGTACTGAGAGAGCTAATGTCAATGGTATTGACGTGTCGTTACAAGTCTCACTGCCTGGGAAAGCTCAATACTGTAAGTACAGAAACACATACAGAAAGCTGCCTACTGAATAAAAAGTCTTCTTACCTTTCGGACTACGTGGGCAAAGTCGCTGCTGTCTCTGGCAGGGAGTCCTACCAGCGGTCGGGTGAAAGATGCCAAGGAAGAGCCATGCCCCACAATAAGGATGACACCTGAAACACCATAGTAAGAAAAGAAAGGTAGTTAAGGTGTTGTCTGACTTTGCAGACATCTTCGTTAATGTGGCAGAGTGTACTGTGCTGGTCGGAAAAAGTCTGACTTGTTGCAGACATGGCAGCTAGTCAGAAAAAGTATTTGCTCAGTGAACAGCTTTCCAGAAATGCAATTTTCTGATGCTGATCTTCATCCCAAGGCACAAGTAGAATGATCAAAATTACTCTTGTAATTTTTTACTGCCTTCTGTTTAAGTTTGATTTTTCTTTTCTGTTCTGTAAATTGTATTTATTTTTACTTACTACAGGCCAACAGCTACAAGCCTACCTTGAGCTCTGTGCAAAACAAATAATCAATGATAAATGTGCCTCTGTTGACAAACCCATGCCTATTCCTGATACTGAAAGTATCTTGCAGAATATACAAAGATTTGAAACCTTTACCTTTGCTGGGGCAGGCAGTGACAATCTCTTTTATAACTGCAGAGCTTCTGCTCACATATTCCTCATAACTTTCTGACGGGACCAGAGAAGAGAGTGGGATGATTCCCCTGACAATATAATCAGAAATACGTTTTCATCTAGATGAATGAGCCCACATGAGAGGAAGCACTTGGTTAAAAGGATGTGGGTTTATCCACTCACCTGACTGACATACCGATACCTCAGCGATTCACATTAAAACTTAAGCCCACATCTTGTAGTTCATAAAACACCAGAAGCAGAGAAAACCATGCTTTAATAAAACCCCTAGTTTACAGTGGAAGTTGTTTAAACTAAGACCCATCCCAAAGTTTCTCAGGAGCTTCCTTGACCTGTCTGTGTCCATACTTGGAAAAAGATGGCAGAGTCTACCATGTCTTGGTGCACAGTGGCTGGTGGTGCCAAGGATAGGCAGCTGAGAAGGCCAAATTCCGAGTGATGAGAGCCCTACCAGCCTCCCCAGTGCTGGGGGACTAGCAAAATAGTCAGCAGGACAACAGTGATTTGCTGCCTCTCAACAATCTCCTTGCTTTTCTTGGTTGATGCTTATATTAGGTCTTCTTGGCAAGAGAATTCAGCCTCCTCAAACTCATTTCCTATTTTTCATATCATCCTTTGAATCTGAGAGCTAGAGAAATTCACAGCCATGGCTGGCAAGTATGATTATATGATTAGCCACATGCTGTGACACAATCCAGAATGTTTATTTCTTTCTACAAAAAAACTGCCCTGCTGTTTTGCTAGCCTCCTTTTTCAGTGAATAGACAGAAGAGAGATTAGATTCATATATTGTAGTAAGATTTGATATCAAAGTGTACTTTTACCAGTGAGTCCTTGATACATTTCAGGTAAACTACAGCTGCACAAACTACAGAAGTAGAAAATAAGTGGTAAAACTGTGTGGCAGGCCCATGCTAAATTGTTAATCATAGCTAATACTAATTCTGGCTAGGTTAAGTCTGCTGATGGAACAGTCCGGGACTTGACCCAGGTGAAAGCTGCTCCTTGAAGTGAGTGAATATGGTAAAACTACCTCTGCAACCAGAGGATTTTGAACCCTGTACACGACAGCAAGAAAGTGGCATCAAATGTGCAGGGTTACAGCTTATCCTCTCTGCTTTTGCCTGGACCTGAGTGAGCTGTAAGGCTGCAGTTGACACTGTTGCAAAGGTTTCCTCTCCAGTTCCCACTGCTCTATACCTGCACTCTGTCCTGTGTGGAAATTTGAGGAAAATGATCTCATATTGAAAAAACTGTTGAAAAAGTTTAGAATAACCTATGTGCCATGAATAGGAAAGATTTTATTCTTTCACGAAGTTTAAAATGAAGATGCTCACTTGGCTGTAAGAAATACATTATGAGCTGAGAAGTTCCTTTCCCTCTTTCTTACACAAGTGGGACACCTCAGACACGCTCACTTTTATTAGCTGAGCAATTTCCTGGAGCTGGCTGTGCACTGCACACAAGGAGCAGCCCCAGAGAGCACAGTAAGCAGCTAGGTAAATTGGAGCTCATTCATTTCCTGCTCCTCTGTGGTTTGCAAGTACTCAGAAATAGCATCAGTCCCCTCTTTCAGCTCTGGGGGCCCCCAAAAAATCCTTGCTGCAACTCAAAACATAACAACGCCCTCCTCGACTGAGTTTGGCATGAACGTTCTGCTGCCCCCCAACCCCACCCTTCAGATCACAAGGAAAGCTGGCTCGTGTTGGAGACACCTCTCTCAACCCAATGGATATGAAAGCAGCACCAGAGCAAGGCTAATGCAGTATGCAAGCTCCAGGTGTGTGCCCATGTGCCCATTTCTAATAAGACCCATATTGTCTCCATGTTAGAGCAACAAAGCTGACTCTTGCCATGAGACAGAAGACTGCATATCTTTGGGAATAGACCACACAGTCTTGAATTTGATTAGCATCATCCATTGTTTGCAATGTCCCTAAAGGTTTATGACATATAAAGAGGGAGGAGGTACCTCAGGAGAAGAAGAACTGGCTTTAACAGCTAGAGAGGAAGAAATTACCTGTAACTTGTATCTATGTTGTAAGAAGCCTCTGTCAGTTCTGTGAGAGTCATAAAGTTTGGAATTACTCTGCTTGCTTCCCACTTGGTCCATTCAAACAGTCCTGGTTCCATTCTGATTTTGACTTTTTGGTCTAATTTAAGCCCTGCAAAGACAAGCTGTATTTCTTAAAAAGAAGAAGTTATACTCAAACTGTCACATTTGGGCAGTACATTCTGTTTTGTTTGCTGTAATATTTTCATTAACCAAATAAACTGCTTATTGTTGAAAAAAAAAAAAAAAAAGGATTTTGTTTAAATGAAGGCAACATATTCTTGTCTGACTAATGTTAGGACACACAAAAAATGAGACATTTTTGTTATGTTATAGCTATATTGCTATTATTATTGTTGTTATTTCTGGAGTTCTCTTGTGATACTTTCAAAGTACAGAAGTGAGCAAAAGACCTCAGCAATGTTTCAATCTGAATAAACTTTATAAAGGAAATATCTTTTTTTACCCATTTGTATATAACATTTTGTAGAGTGACCACTCTGTGGGGCAATAAATCATTCTACAGCAGAATTTTAATGTAATTGTTGTAAAAATATACATTCTTTTGTTTATTATTCTCCAGAGAGGTTACAGGGTTGCACCATTTCCCATAAGAAATGCACACGTTCTACTGAAGATGTAAGGATGATGATGAACTGTGAGCCCTTCACAGATCTATTAGAGGGGAGAGGTGAGGAACAGTGAGGAGAAGAGAGAATGGAAGAGGAGGAAGGAAAGAGATTTGAAGCATGAAGGAACTAAAATCCTTTGGCTTGCAATAAATAACCACAGAATTGTACACAGAATCATTAAAGTCCGAAAGACGGCAAAGATCATCTAGTCCCTGGGCAGCCTATTCCAGCACCTGACCACTCTTTCTGAGAAGAAATGGTAGCTAATATCCAACCTGTACCTCCACTGGCTCACTTGAGGTCACTATCACCATAACTTCTCTTACTATTACTGTTTACCTGGGAGAAGAAGCCAGCTCCCATCTCTCCACAACCTCCTTTCAGGTGGTTGTAGAGAGCAACAAGGTCTGCCATGCTCCTCCTCTTCTCCAGACTGAACAACCCCAGTTCCCTCAGCTGCTCCCCATCAGACCTGTGCTCCAGATCCCTCACAGCTCCACTGCCCTTCTCTGGACATGCCCTATGGCCCTTGATGTCTTTCTTGTAGTGTGGAGCCCAAATCTGAACACAGAATTTGAGATGTGGCCACACCAGTACTAAATACAGAGGGATGATCACCTCCCTGCTCCTGCTGGCTACCCCCAGAAACTTGATGGCAGTTTGACAAAGACATTTTCATTTTTTATGCCTTACCTTGTAGTACATGTTGGGCTGTCTGTATGCAGCGTAGGGCAGGCGATGAGTACATGTAGCTGACTGTCACCTCTTGGTCCAGCAGAGCTTCCCCTAGTGGGAACAGCAACGAGAGGTGCTGTTTCACTCATCACCGTAAGTGAGAAACTACTGCAAAAGTGTTTCAGTAAAAAAAGCTAGGACCAAGCGTTGGAAAGGTAATTACAGAAGACTGTCTCAAAATCTGCCAAGAGCAGCTAAGCATTTGCACCAGACTTCTATTGTCAACATCAGACGTGCATGCTCAGGGTGCAGAAATAACTTTGTTTGGTGAGTGAACTGAGTCAGACTAACCCATATCACCCAGCCAGCAGTTTTATCTGTGATAAGCTGACCACAGTCTGCTGACCACGAAGCTGTGTCCTCCAGCCAGCCCTCTCCCTGGGTGACAATTGAATGAGACATCACTCTCTTGCAGATGTGCAGCAGGGCACAGGTAGTGTTGCAGTTTCCTTCTTTTAACTGTCTCGGCCAGGAACTGGCAGACTGGGTCTCTAGGATGAACAACCAGCCTCTCTCTATTTTACTGTTTAACAAGTTCTTGCAGCAGTTGTCCATCCAGAATGGTTACCACAAACAATGCTGCTAGCAAGTTTCTCTACTACTAGGCCAGTGTGAGCTCTGCCAGATGCTGAAAGATCGCTTCCCAAACCCATCTAGTTGCAGTAGGATATTATCCATCTTACCTATAAGTCTTGATTGGAAAACACCGCAGGAAGATAAAGGAGGATCATGCTCAAAATGCTTTACACCGTCTTTCCGTTTTGGTAGGGTAGAAGGAAAGTTGAGGTCTGCCCTGTAGTATTTTCCTAAAAAAAGGTGGAACATTTTGCTGTGATGAGAGGGAGGCAGCAACAAAATACACTGTCTGCCTTTCGTTGTAATGGCTCCATTCATTTTGAATTCTCAGACCAGAATTATATTTCTGCTGGCAAATAAAAACAGGCTGGAGCCCTGTTAAAAAATCCCAGTGACTGCTAATTACCTCAAAGAGATCACGTTTTAAGTTCACAACACTGACTTGGGAAATCACCTGTCGTAACAAAATAACACCTCCTCTGCAAGCTCCAAATGAGCAAAAGAAAGGAGTGGAGGAGAATGAACACAGAAAGTGGAGGTGTCTGATAAGCCTCAACCAGGTCATCTGAATAATGAATAGTAGAGATTTTATGTTTTGTGCTTCTGTCAGCGACAATCGTACCAGAGCAATGTTTGTTCTGTGGTGTTTATCCAAAACAAACATAAAAGACAGCGGGACATAAGGTCCAGGTCGGACCAGGCTCCGAGCAACATGTTCTAGCTGTAGATGTCCCTGTTCATCGCACGGAAGTTGGACCAGATGGGCTTTAAAGGTCTTTTTCAATTCTAAGGATTCTATGATTCTATGACATGATGATGGTAAGGTGCAGGTCAAAGAAGTGTTGTGTCTGACTGCGCATCATTATTCACTCTTCTGTGTCAGCATTTACATCTACAGATAGAAGCCTGTATCCCTTGTACTCTGATACTGGGGTAAAGAAGTTCTGGGTCAGGTTTGCTCAGAAACTCCCATTATCTTACTCACCATCTGCAGTTAAGCACTGTTGAAGCCAAGATTTCCCAAAGACCTGATCAACTCTTTCTCCATGGCGCATCACCAACACACCTCTTCGCAGATTGGTGTTCTGAGACAGCTATATAAAAATTACTTTCCATTACAATATTATATACAACCTGCATGGAAAGTCTAAATTGCTGGATGCTGTCTAACATAGCAAGGACCAGCAGGGCTGTCCCAAGAGATAGATAACAACCACAGAGGGGGAGAGTATTAAATTGATAAAATGGATTAGAATATTTAGGACAAAAATAAGCCTGACTAGCTCTCTGTTGAAAGCAAATGAAGAATATCTTTGATCTTCATAGGCTACAGGTTAGATTTAAATTCAGTGTTTATTCTAGTGAAAGGTAGTACTGATAAATCTTTTAATTCCACTGTGGGAAGGAGTTACATCAGTATGTATTGTGTAGTTGGTACAAACAAAAAGGAAAAGCAGCTAGCTGATTTAAGTAATAATATTCTTTTCTAACATCAATCTCATCTTTTTTTCCAAATGAAAACAGAGATTTTACATTTTTCCAACAGTGTATGGCTAAGTGATTAGTGAGCCCAGGTCTCATATGAGGCCTTGTTTTCCCTTAGTCTGCACGAGGCTACAAACATGTTCTAAGTACGTAGGAGTTAGTTTACAATACAGAGAGGAAAAGATAAGGAAGAATACCTCAAAAGCTTTAAAACTTTTTAAAAAGCAATTCATCACAGCATTATTGTTGCAACATCAAGGTTAGTGATGTGTATCTTCAAGAACAGAGAAGGGAATTCTTAAGAAGTGGTGTGAGATACATATTTATGTATATATATATATATATATATATTGCTAATACTCTGCATTTCTGCCGTAAGGCACCAATCAACTGCTATGAGATCAGAGTTTAAGGTTTTGTGGTCTAGACATTCTTCCTGGGAGAAGCTCATAGGCTGGGGAAATGCTTAGATTAAAGATGTGCACATCTGCAAAAAGTGTTCTTCAGGGCAAGCAGTGGCTCTGCCATGGATCCAAGCAAGAGGGTTAAAGAGCATACATGAATTGGTGGAAAGACATATAGCTCCTGCAAAAGAGAGTTTTGTAAAAGATAGCAAGGCTAATACCACATTACATATACTACAAAATATTTATGGGATATGGTACTGTAAATGTATGTGCAGTGTATGCATACGCTACATATATTCATTATAACATGAAAAATGTTAAGGAGAACCAGGAAGATAGTATTAAATTTAATATATGCTTTTTCTTAATAGCGTATCATGCACAACTACATGGAGAAGACAAGAAATAAAATCCCAACTACCTGAAGAGAAAGAACATCAGTTACACTCCTTGACATAACAGGATTATGGACTTCTCCATTCAGCTTAACATTAGGATCATTTGTGGATTGGGTGAAAAATTTTGAAGCTGGCACAAAAGCATATTCCCTGTAGAAAAAGCAAAAACAGTGCACACACATCGTATGAGCACACACAAAAACAGAAGGGATTTTTAAGTCCGGATTTTGTCCATAGACATATGACAACCAAGATTCCATATTCTCTTCAATATATTTCACACACATGCAATCCATTTTATCACTTTGTTCAGGTCGTAATCTGTCCAGTAAAAATAAGAGTAAATTATATGAACTGATGACATGCATTGGATGTAACTATTCTGAATTCTGAGCTTGAAGCAGGAAATAATACCTGATTGTCACCACTCTGCCTCTAAGGGCTCAGCACACATAAAATCTATACCTCTTGCTTAGAAAAATTAGATCTAATCTGGAAGAATCATTTGCTACACAGGAAGCCAGTGAAATGCCTGCTGATAAAGGTTGAATTGACAAGGCAAGGATGAGCACAAGGTGTTGGAGTAACCTTTCCATGGTTTAATTCATTTAATTTCAAGTTGGTTTTGCTACCTTCTGAGGTAACAAAAGAATGAGACAAAAGAAGAAATGGAAGTGCTAAGGGCCAGGTTGGATGGGGCCCTGGGCAGCCTGATCTGATGGGTGGCAGCCCTGCCCATGGCAGAGGGTTGGGGCTGGGTGCCTTAAGGGTCCTTTCCAACCCAAATCATTCTGTGATTCTGTGCTTCACATTATTCAAGAGCACAGGCAGGCTATCCTTTGATCAGCTGGACTCCAGGCTTCCATGTGCATATGTCCTATCACTTCTTGTTAAGAAATTTCATTTTCCCACCCAGATACCAAGGTACCCTCTGCTCACCTCACCTCTAGCTTTCTCCCAGCAGCAAGGAGGAACAGCAGCTGCACAGAACCTCTGCGCCATGAAAGCCCAGAAACTCCAGCACCTGTGGAGTGGATCACAACCAACCTGTGCTTAACCCACGTGTCTGACTCGTTGGCTCTCTCTGTGTAGTTTTCAGGAAGAAAACCCCTGCACCCGCTCTGGTGCGAGGTCCCGATGACCCAGCCCTCGCTGACTTCAGACTGCTGTGTTGGGTTGACGTAGATGAAGTCCCCAGCATTGATCATGAGCTCGTCAATATTCTGGGGCTTGTACTGGAAGAGAGCCCGCAGTGTCTGGTGGAAGGACAGAGCTGGGTCAGGCCAGGAGCTGGCTGCAGGGGCAGAAGCATGCAGGGGACATGTGCTAAACTTGTGGCAGCCACTGCCATCAGCACCATTTCCCAACTGCAGCTTGCTCTGACTCACTACTTCAGCAGACAGATAACTACAAATATGCACTGAGTGTAAAAATAGGCACTTGGTATTCATAATATCACTTCTTTTTTTTTTTTTTCCTGTAACTAGTGTGACATATTTGAAAGAAGGCACAGCAAAAGGATTGTCAGCTATTTCGGTGATTACTTGTAGCTCTCTCAAGTCAAAATATGAGATTCAAAACAAAACAATATACTGGTCCGGATAAAAAAAACAGCAGTTATTCATCATTCTGTAGTTGAAATTCGGAAATGAAAACGGGAAAAATATTGGGTGTTTTAAACTAAGAATTTGGTAAACTGAAGTTGACCAGGGAGAACTGTGCCATGCTCACTGAAGTTTAACCTGTGCCTTTTTCATCATTGTTGAACAATTAAAAAAAAAACAAACTTATTCTGTTGAATGGAATTTTACTGCAGAGCAGTGATTTGACAAGGAAATGTTCAAAGGTCATCATTTCCTGTCTCTTTTATTTTCTCATAGCTCATTGTAAGATGAGTTCTGCTGCAGTTTGGGATTGGATCTTGCTGACATGCAGGTCAAGCAGGTAACCATAAACATATCTCCTATAGACTCAACAATATTTTTTTCAGCCCAAAGAGATACTTGAAGCAGCCATACATTCTGAACACTGCACTGTGCATGCACTGATTTTCCCCATAGAAAACAAAACATATAAGATGACTGCAGGAAATGTTCCAACTACAGACCCAGAAATGTAATAAACCCAATGACAGTACCTGGTAATGCACAAAACGCATGTCCCTTGAGTAGAGAGCAGCTACCCAGTGGCAGGTCTCCTCTGCGTTAATGCATTTGGCGAGTTGCTCCAAAGTCTTCTGGTGGTGAGGACAGAACTTGTGAGCCAAGGTAAGGTGGAGCTGCTTTAGGCAGGGCTTCACGTGACAGTCTAGGAATAAAGCAACCAACTTATATCATGACTTACAAGGGAAGGCCGTTTAAAGTTCTTTGTGTTTTATCCTGCATGCTTTGCATGATTCACGAAATATCTTTGTAATTAGTAGAAGAGTAGACCATAGTTTTATTAAATAATTGTTTTACCATATGTCATGGCTTTATTTATCCAAAATAATTCAGAAATCTGGACTGAATTGGAGCCTTGGCTTAAGCTGAGAGGAAAAACAAACTGTTGGAATTCCTTTCCCAGTCTGACGTATAGAATTTGTCTTTCCCAGACCACGCTATCCAAGGGCAGCAGCGTTTCAGTCTGAGGTTTCCTAGTGTCATGGGAAATGTTTATATGGTGTTTGTTGCACCACTGTCTGAAGTATGTGTCTGCTCCTAGGAAGTTATAGAGGTCTCCCTTCCTTAGTTCCGTAAGCTTGGTTTAAAATATACTTCTTCATTTCCTTATTGTATTTATTACCTGACAACTGTGAATGTAAAAAGCACTTCACCCATTGGTGGTGTGAGGTAAAAAATGCTTGTCCTCGCTATGATGAAGAATGCTGCGGGTCTGGGAGATCCCCAGCTGGCACACAACCACTGAAAGGAGATGTGTGACTCAGATTCAGGAGGAGACAGACTTATGTGAGCACAAGGGAAAACCCAGGCCCTATGGGCTACGTTTCTTTGCTTTTTCATTTCCGCCTTCCTCCTCAGTCTGGCCATGGAGAATTGAATATCCCCAAGGTGGAAAGGTCTGTCTTCCCAAGGCTCCATGTGAGACAGAGAACTGGGTATAGTTAAGATTCGGTTTACTTCCTCCAAACATGTATTTTCTCTTTTGTTTCTGTCCTCACACAATCATGGCACTGGTCCCTGATGAGGAAAAGACAGAGTAGAGGTTGGGTACAGAGGTCTAGGGGTATTTAGGAGTAGATCTCTTTCTATCTTACATATCCTAATCCTGATGGGCTCTCAAGTTATACTGACAAACATTTCAGCTTGTGGACCAATATAACAAAGGTAAAGCAAAAAAAAAAACAAAACAAAAAAACCAGAAAACAACAAACCCAATAAAGTTGATCCCACAGAAATTACTCTGTAACAGCTCAAAATGGAATAACCTCTGGTCATTTCAAAACCCGTTATGAGCAGCACAGTGTAAATGCCCAGAAAACAAAGATCTCATATTGTTTTAAGGGACTGCTGTTTGAAAGATGTTGCCAGGCAAAACCTTTGCCTGGATTTACTAAATAGAATAAATTTATGAAGACTTCTAGTATGTTTCTTTTTTCTTATTCATAGAGTTCAACAAAAACCTCCTAGACAAAAGCAGCACATCTTCAGAGTCTAAATCCAGCTCCTCTAGCCACATTGTTTTTGAATCTGTAGGAGGAAAATGTGCTTGCCAGCAGTAAAACATCTGCTACACTGCTGTGGAGACATGGGAGATAGTTTCATTATCGTGTCTAAGCATTTGCACAACAGCCCACTCATTTTCCCTCTCATGTTGATCCCACCTGCTAGGGCTGAAGCCTCTGAAGAGAAGGCCACAGCAAACTCTTTGAGGATATTTGCGTGGCTGTCACCAACAAAGAAACCAAGGTAGCTGGTGGATGAGTGTAATGATAGGGAAATAGTTGGTGGAAATCTCTGTGCAAAGCTGTTGCAGATTCTCTTTAAGATGTCATACAGTAATTCCACTTTCTGGTCTTCACACTGAAAGAAAACAGAGGAAGGACATCCTTTACCCTCTAAGATCAACAGCCTGTTGTTGAGGCAGCCTGTCTTGTAAAGTTATACCAGAAAACAGGATGGGCATTACTTCCTTAGAAAGATAACACATCTATAAACATGCCTGAAATTCCTGATATTGAATGTATTAATATTTGCCATCTTGATCAGCAGTGTCTTGATACTGTATGAGGAGATGAGGTCATTAAGTGAAGGAAGATAAAGCAAGATATTTTACCACCTGAAGTAATCTGAAATGAGTTAGAGATCATGACTTCTCTCTTCAATTCTAAGTAAGAATTTTTATTATTGTTATTCTACAGTTCTTTGCTCTGGTAAAAAATTTAAGAACTGAGCAACGTACATAGGAAAGTTAATTCAGAATCTTTGTAATCTTTTGTCCCCTAGTTACAGCAAATTAAAGGATTGTACAAAGCCATGCTTCCACAAAAAGTGTCAATTAAACGATTTAAGAAGTAAATAGAAAAAGATGGAATTTGTGCCATCCAGCCAAAGTTACAGACATTAATGATGTTCCAGTTCCACACAGTTTTGGTTTTTTTTTTTTTCCTTAGCAGAACTATTTGCTCCTTTCAGGTGCAGGAGATGTATGGTGTCAGGAAACAGAAGAGGTTGGGCTGGGAGGTAGGAGCAGGGCAGGGAGTCTTATATCCTATATGCGACGCACCCAGGTCATCTGTCACTGACAGCTGAGGAACATAGAATAGCACTGGTGTACATTCATCCCTAGAAATATACTATCTGAAACAGAGCTGAGGTGTGTGAGGTGAGACTTACAATTCAGGCATCTCTTCCAGGGTCAGGCCTTTAAACTTGACACTTCTCAAGAACACAGCATTAGTTATTAATGTTTTTTGGTTTGCATAATTGTGACACATGGCTGCAGGGCACCACACTATTCTATATTTTGCAACAAAATGCTTGCGTTTTCATTATGCTCAGCATTTCACATCATAGTATGATTTACACAATTATTTTGTGCAGCTGCTCTATAGCAATGGTACCATAGCAATAGCCTCTTGGCCTGGACTTGCCAAGCTGTCCAGTTCCACCAGTAGTTACTTTTTGTGCCTTACCGTGAAGAAGTCACAGAGTGTGATGTGAGGGAAAATCTCATGGGCTCTGTTCTTCCCGCACTGCCGCTTGCTCTCCTTCCAAAACTCTTGCAGGCAGTTAAACAAGTGGCCAGTGGGGCACAAATAAAGAGCATATTCCTGGGGGATGGGGTCATCCAAAGAGGGATCGTTGCAGTGAGAGTGCAACCTGAAATCAAAACATGTCACACAGAGAACGCATGTGAGCCACCTACTCTTCTTTTCTCGGCTTCCTTGGGTGTGCACCATAAGGTCCCACCAAACACAAGCACTGTGCTGAGGCAGGGAGCATGTTTACTGTGATATAGCTCTGAATGCCTGTCTGGCTATGCCCCATGCACACACACAATTGCAGCTCAGATACTATAGCCCCACTGCAGTGAGTAGCCTACAGGTAAGAAGGAGACTTAAAATCGAGGATAGATGTCTGCCCAGAGCAGCCAATCCTCCAATCCTGTGAGACATTACTGTGGTAAAAGTAGTTTCTTCTGCCCAGGGGTCTCTTTATTCCCCAGCCCTTGATTTACCCCAGACCTTCTGCAAATAATCTTGCTTCCCAGAATCACTGTAAATACAATTATTTATTTCTGTGATGATTTAAAATGAAAAACAAACAAACAAAACTCACATGCAAGGTCTTTAGAAGCAGCTAACTTCAAACTGAGTAACAGAATCAATATGTGAACAAGTGTTTTTAGTCAGTTTTAATGTGAAAGCACTCCTTAGAAATCACAGGTGCTTACCATTTTGCAGCATCTTCTATTGACTTTTGGCCAGTAGCAACCAAGGCTTTTTGCCTAGAAAAAAAAACACACAAACCAAATGAAAATCAAGTGGATTCATCAGAATAACAGAAAACATTAAAATTGTTTTATTTGATTTTAATAAAATAAAGAAGAATGGACATGTGACAACCAATTCTATTTTTCAGCATAATACATACCTATAATAACCTAACCTATAATGACAAGGTTATTCCTGGCACATATTAATGTTCTTGAAGCTCTCCAGGCAGTTGGATCTGTTGCATGTCTTTAATTCCTTGTAGACTGGTAATCTGCCCTTTCCACAGAACATCCACAGAATGTGTTTTGAAGAAATTTGCTTAGCACCCCTACTGATTAAATGGGCATCCTTTGGGTTAGTTTAGTTGTTCCTCCACACATTGTAAGAACAGGGTTTGCTCTGTTGATAATTAATGAGAAGCCCAGATTCAAATGCCAGATTCAAGTCCACACATATAACCTAAGCAAAACATACTTATTTGGAGTTTGAAACTCTGGACTGAGGATTTCCCATAGCCCAGAAAGTGCCAGACCTAAGCCACAGGTTAATTCCAAGATAACATACAATATCTCAATTTTCCCCCCTTTTATTCAACTGACATTCTTTGGGATCAAATTTGGTTCATATTTCCTTTTCATAGAATCATAGAATCTCCTGAGTTGGAAGGGACATACAACAATCATGGAGTCCAACTCCTGACTCCACAAAGGACCACCCAAAAATCAAGCCCTATGTCTGAGAGCATTGTGCAGATATTTCTTGAGCTTCAGCATCTTGGGGCTGTGACCACTGATCAGGGCAGCCCATTCCATGCCCACCAACTTCTGGTGAAGAACTTTTTCCTAACCTCCAACCTGGCCTTCCCCTGTTTCAGTTCCCACAGGTTTTGTTGCTGGTCACCAGAGAGAGGAGAATAGCTAGAGCTTTCAAAATGCCATTGATATTCTTTATGTGACAGAATCTTTGTGAGTAAATGCTGAGTTTTTGGAGGGTGAAGGATTCCCTGTGTTTAAGTAGCACCTGCACCCATGAACCTCATTTCCAGCCCTGCAACCTTATCAACCTTCCACCTGTAACCTTCTCAGAAGTGACATGAAGGGGAATGAGAAACAGCAGAAATGAAAGAAAAAGTACCAAGTTACTCCACATCTGCTTATTCTTCCTTCTTTCTTGAGGTTATCTTTTCTGACCGCTGTGTGCTGAGGGCATCCATCTGTTTAACCTAATCCTCACATTTTTATCTCCCTCTATCCACATGGCATCTGTGCATGTACTAGAGTGCTATGAGTGCATTAAGGAGCAAGTCTTAATCTTGTTGTGGTTGCTTCTTCCCAGACTGTTCTCTCTAATGCAAAAATACATATGGGTTTGTTAAAAAACAATGAAATGTGCATTTGTGCATGTGCAAACATACTTAGTTCTTAGTGGAGGATCAGCACAGCTGAAGACTAGCTAGATCTTTTCACTCAAGCTCTACCTTCTACCTTTCTCCTCTCTAAAATTAGAATTGATGATTATGGCCAAATCAATCCCAAAACCATGAGCTAGTTGATCAAAAGTGACCCTGTTTCCTCTGTGGTCCTCCCTGTGACCTGCATCCTTTTTTTTCTGCCTCTCTGCTGATTCTCCCTTCTCTGTCACGTCAAACATGAACAACTTGTATTTTTGTTGTGCTTCCCATTCAGCTTTTCCTGTCATACCCTGCTGGAATGTAAATGCTTACTGCTGCTTGGCCAGAACTGCCAGCCTTTGTCACCTACTGCTACACTTCAATGTGAGTGTTTTATCATTTTATGCCATGCTGCTCCTCCCATTTGGTAACAAGCTCTTTGTAAACAGCCCCAAAGGCAAGCAGAGCTTGACAGCAGTTTTCCTTTACATTGACTCTGTGCAATCATAAAAGTAATAAGACCATTGGAGACCTGAGGCCATGGCCTGTCATGATGCTCAGCATCATCTCCTTGCTCCCCCATGCTCCTCTGTCTGTTTCCATCTTTCATCCCATCACATAGGTTGGTAGTAGAATACTTTCCAGCAGGGTTTCTCAGCCCCCAGTGTTAGCAAAATGTTAGGCTGTAATTAGACATCCTGTGCTTCCAAGGAGGTTGAAAGATAATGTATACGATAAATTCTATACATGCCTAATACTTTCAGATAAACAGTAGGAATGAATCATTTAAAATTTGAATTAAAAGTAATGTATTTATGGGGGAGAATAAGCTGGTTCTTCCCTAAAGCAGAAAACAGCTATCACATTTCTGTTCTATCGAAGCATGAGGTATTCATTACGCTCACTTGCTCAAGTATTTGTGTTTTGCTCTTTCTAAAAATGTTGCTTTTGCATGCTGGTCCTATATTATGAAAGATTTTATAATATTTCCAATGAGCCTTATTTTTTGTAGGCCAGGATGTCACAGACAAGCAATTTTTCAGAACCTTCATCAATGTTTGAAGCCAGGACTTAAAGAAACAACTAAGAAGTTTCATAAACTACAGTCCAAATTTTCAATGTGTTAAAGTCTGTAAGGAAAAACAAACAAAAAAATAAAGTGCTTTTGGATTTTTTTGCCATTTTATGTTGACTGCTTTGCACTTTGTCCACCATCTGTTGATTTTGACCTAGAAAGCACAAAGCCTCATCAATCATTGGGGAGAATGTTTTGAAAGCAATTTGGGGAACATAAAATACAGAATAAAAATTAGACCTTAGTTTGGAGTGACCATACTAATATTATCTACTAGAGAAATGACAAGACAGATTTTAAGTTACACAGCTAAAATTCCACTGGACATAACCAGGAATAATGAACCCACAGCTTCCCTGTAAACTGTGCGCCTCACATCTAAAGATGCTTCACCAAGCACCAGGTGTTCCTGAAAAATGGAGCCTGATCAACTTGTTTAATTTTCAATCTAGAATCAAAATGGAGGTTACAGAGATACTGATGTCCTTTTTCAAACACTGAGTACTCCCCTGACATTCTAATGAAAGGACTTATTTTCTTCAGTCATAAGTCCATGGCACAACTGTCTGCCACCACAGAGTCCAGATTTTCCCTTCAGAAATTTGTTGATGCTCTGTAGAACCTCCAATCGTCTTTTTCTGACCAGAGCCATATCTGGGGAAGGAGTTACCACCAAGTAACTGAGTTTTTATTAACAAGTTTTTATTAACAATTTTTTATTAACTCAAGTAATTGAGTTTTTATTAACTCAATTGGAAGTGCTGCCACCAGTTCATCCTCCCTCAGATGGAGCTGCCAAGGACAGGGCCTGACATTTTCCAGGAAGGATGTGCTTTTGAAACAAGATTCATATTTAGGACAGAAAGAGAAAGGGACAGACTCATGTGGCATCTTGTTAATGAAAGCTTACCCTTTTAAAACAGTCTCCTGTGACAAAACCCAGCAAGCACTTTTTTTTTGCCAGGCCTGAAAAAATCTTTGTACAGATGCTACATCCACATTTACTTCCATTGTAATAACAGTGGTAAGTAGAAAAAAATGAAAGGATTCATCCCAAGAGTGAACTATACATATCAACTTAACTCATTGTGAAGTCTCTCAAACTCCAGCTGCAGAAGAGCATGTCTTCAAATACACAGAATAGTTTTAGAAATGGATACAGAACAAGTTTTTTTAGCAATAACATCAATACACAGCGCTCTACAAGGTATTCAAAGTGAGACAGACCTGCTCCTCCTATGGAGACATCACCCCCAAGAAGCATCTCGTTCTCTTGATGGAAAATGCACACTGTCTGCATTTAAGTAGATACAAGAAACACCTATCACTGTACAAAAGTAGCTGAAAACATTACTCACGCAATGTGAGCTGGGAATCCTTTGGCCAGGAGAGACTCCAGGAGTGCAGAGGGGCTTTTGCTCCTGTGTTTGTTGGACACCTTTGCATACAGCTGCGTCTCAGCCACCGCCATCCTCTTCTCTCCCTCAAACTGTGCTCGGTGCTGACAGAAATTAGGAGGGGGAGGAGGGAGGGAGCAAGAAAATGAGAGAGAAAGAAAGAGAAAGAGGCAGCTAGAATAAAAAAACCCTCAAACTTCTTGTGATCGTCTCTGACAAAAGCTGACATCCTGTTTTCATAACCTGCGCGTCTTTGAGTTTTTGTTTTAAAGCAGTTAAAAAAGCAAATCTGCAGGCTGTTCCTATCTGCCCTAGTAGAACAAGACGCGTTGTCCAAGGGAAAATATAAGAGTCAGGGTGGACTTGCTGAACAGTCTGAGACTGGATCTTCATTTTAAATTATCTTCTGGAAGCCAAGAAATCCATCTGAGCTTCTATTGGAGAGGAAGGGGGCCTCCTGCATCGTATAAGAAGTTATTTTGTAGGCTGAACTCATTCCTCTTGGGCTCAACGTTCATATTCTCCAGTTTCAGCTGTACTTGGACACCTTTATGGCCACAGCCATAGTCCACCAGCTGACCAACTGTTCAAAGACAAACCAGGCACCCCATGTAGACACAATGCCCTGGGTCTGTGCTTGGAGCAGTTCAGAGAGGCAGCTCATTGAGGCCTGTGCTTCCAGACAGTGCTGTTCTACTAATGGAGACTTCAAAAATTGGATCTGGCCCATCCGCAGGACATCCAGGGTGGTCAGAGCAGGCAAAATAGCAGAGGCAGCTTTCCCCAGCCTGGGCTATCTTTGCTGATGGTACCACTGTTATCCAGGAAGTATGGGAATGAAAGGGTCTCTAGAGCTGCTGGTCTCAAGAAAAAAGCCATCGCTATCTCCTTCTTGGCTGAAGTTCCTCTTGGGGCAACTCAGCACTCAGGGCTGCCTCTCCCAGTCTTTACCTCTGAAGCCTGGTGAGGAGAACACTCAAGCAACCCAAAAGGCACAACCTAGATGTGAGCAGTAAACAAGAAGGTGATGTTGTGCTCTGTCCTTTGTAAGTGCCAGCTTGCATCCTGCACAGTGAAAGGACTGAGTTTCCCTCACTGCAGGAAGATCCAGAGAAGTGTTTTCATGGAAAGCCTTCTTTTCTTCCATGGTCTCTAAGGAGTCTTGTTTCACTTTATACTACCACTAGCTTTTACTTTAGCTCTCTTTCTCCTTCTTCCCTCCACCCTCCCTTTGGCAACATCTCTCTGTTTACTGAAAAACCACAAGCCGAATTAGGACTACTTTTGAGTGTTTTACAAAGCTGAACATACATTTTCATTTTCTAAAACCAGACTACAAATAAGCTGATACAACACTCTCAGTACAGGCACACTGTTTTCAGGAATGAGTTACCACTTGCAAAGCATTTCCAAAAGATTGTGCAATGTCTGATAATGGAAGTTATCCACAATTAACATATGTGTGTGGTTTTTTTATTCCCAGAACCCCTGTTTTAATGTGCTGTTTGCTATGAGCACACAGCAAAGGGTATGGAAGTGAAGAAGGAGCAGCATCATCCAAGGGCTCTGTGTGACAACATGAAGAAACACCTGGGCCTCTCCCTGCTGCCACTCAGGGCTGCAGGCAGACTCCTCCACTACACAGTTTTTGATAACAGATGAGCAAGCACGAGCCTGCATGGTTTAACTTCAGCGGTATTTCTTCCCATGGAAGGTTACAGAAAGGTTTGCAAATACTGCAATATTACTTTACGCTCTTAGGATGATTAAAACGCGTGCTGAATTTTTATCTCCCCCCTTTCCGTAGCCATGCCATCCGAAGCTACCTGATATCCATCCCCAGGTTGGATTTCACTGCCGTCTCCACAAAGCTGCCTGTGACCAGTGGCTGAACGGGTGGCCCAGGAGGCTCAGGAAACCTCTCAGAGTGGGCTGGCTTAGCAACCTCAGGACTTCCTTTTGGCTTCTTTTGATGATGAAGAGAGAAAACAGTTTTGCTTTTAACTATGACTTCTCAGGAAGAGGTGAGTGAAGCTTTGGGACAGCGTGTGTCCTCTAAAGAAGACGTGTCTGTGCTTATCTCTCATGTTGTTTATACTTCTCAATGCTGTTTTACTTACAGATGAACAACTTATGCGCCAGTTAGGAGGATTTTAAGGGTAGAAGAGTATTAAAAATACTTAAAAATCATATACAGCACACCATCCTTTTATCTGCCTTAAAATCAGTGGGCTACATATGAAATTTAATTTATGGTCATTGAAATGAAAATTGGACTTTATCAAAACCTCGTTGCGACTCTGCTGAAAAGTGAAGAGATATTCCTGGTGGTTAGAGATTAGTGCCACCAACAAAACACATACACTTTGCCTAAAATGTGTCACTATAAATATTTTCTGGGACTGCTTTGAAAAGCACTTGTGCTGCTTTTACACCTTACAAACTCCACTGTCTTTAGCAATCCTGGACCTATTTCACACCATCATGAGGTCAAAAACCTGATACCTTTTGTCACTGATAGTGCTTGGAACTGAAGCTAGAAAACAGAATTTTGAAGCTGCTTACCTTGAGTTCTGGTGTGGCCCGTTTTAATGATTCTCCACTGTATGAGAAGAGATTAAGGGTTTTCTGGGCTAAAATTCATTCTGCCCAAGCATGAGGTTGCTGCCAGGTACTGTACAGATGTAATGTGCTTTTCCGTCTCTCTTGTTTCTGATTGCAATTAAAGAGAGCATCTCACAGAGGTTAGGTTGAAATTTAAGGGAAAAAAAGAAGTCAGTTATTTGTCGCAGTCGTCAACTACAGTTATTGAGAGTGCTTAGACAAACCTGAAAATAATTTAACTTCTGTAGTTGCTGGTTAATTAATTGCAAGAGCTTCTCTCATGAAGTATGGTTTCTTTTATCATGAAGAAATGGTTTATTTTGGGCAAACATAGTATTCTTGCAGGTGTGTCTGCAGATTCATTTTTTATCTGCATTGCATGGAAGAAGAATTATCAATGGAAGTAGGAAGAAAATATCCTTTCATATCAGAAGAAGAGTGTCAGATTTTTTGAGGTAATAGAAATAATTTGCTTAAATATTGTCTCATTATTTCTTCTGTTGAGCCAGACTCAAGGGGCAAATCCCACTACTGGAAGTCTTGAAATCATCTCTATTACAGAAGATGGACCGCCAGTACCAGAAATTCAGTTCTCCTTCAAAAGATTTTTCAGCATACAAGTGAGAGTTGATCCCAGTGCAGATGGATCTGGTAGGGATGCTGCATAGCGTTTTGACCTTTGTAATCTGAACAGCTAATTAGCTTGCCCACACATTCAGAGAAAGCAATTACTCGGAGGAACAAGAAACACAACTTCACTCCCCCAGCCGTGAGATCTGCCACCATATCAGCAGGCGATGACATCTTCTGTCTTGTGCTTGCATGCACAAGCATTTTTTATAGACAGATTATCCACACACTTCTGTCACATAGCAGATATTTGCCCACACTTTTCTGATATTGTTTTCATTGGCTTATTTGAAATTTTTCCAAACTGGAAATTCAGCCCATTAAAAAAAAAAAACTGAATGCACAATATAACAATCTATAGGAGGAATAGCAAACATGTTGGTTACTTCCCTTAGGTTTCATGGCAAATATACTAACTGCAGCTGTGTAAAATTTTGGATACCAGACACCAACTCCATTGTCAAAATCAGTTGCTCAGTAGCTTTAGGGAGGGTTTGGGAAGGTTGGGATTTACCTGTGATTCTATGAGCACTGGGAGACACTCAGCATCCTTGACTGGTTCTAAGTTCCTGCTAATCTTAGATTCAAAGCTTGAAGAAGGGGTTTAAGAGCTGCATGGATTAAAATTGACAACAAGGTTCTACCAGCTCTTGTGTATATACATGAGAAAGCTGTGTAGGCTATTTTCCCATACTTTGCATTCTGTATGTCAGAATATGTTTGTCACAAGTGAATCATTCATTATTTTCAATGGGATCCATTGTTTTTTTCTCTGAATCACAATGCTACCAAGTTGAGGTCAGCTACAGAGGTGAACAGGATCATTCCTGCTCATGAAATGCATTCAGCAGTTCCTGCTGGTGTCTATTTTAACTTCAGATGCCTCTTTTTCCTTGAAAACTGAATCTCAGCACAGAGCTATTACTTGGTTCTTTCCTTGCCTTTATAGTAAAATTTCCTCCAGATCACATTTTTTGACACTTTTTCAAGCTATCTTCTAATTTGGAGGTCCTATGGTTTTTTGCTTTCTACTGTTTTCAATTAACTCTGCTTCAAAGTCCAAAACTTTCTTCCTTCTTGCCTTGAATGCTATTTGTTAACAGGTGCTGTCTTTCCAATACTCCTGCTCACGTTCAAAGCTTTAGCACCTCTTCCTCCCTGACAGGAGTGTTCCCCCAGCACTGTAAGAGTGGAGCTGCTGCATGGGGTTGTACACTGCGCTCAGAGCACCATGCAGCTGGGGTTGCTGCTGGAGGGAGCACTGGGACCTCAGATATGGTACAGGCAAGGGTCAGGAGATGTCATGGACAGGAATGACTGTGAATTGCATGCAGCAATTGCTGCTTCATCTAGCTTAATGTTAGAGAAATCTTTTCACTGCAAACTCCAGCTGTTTAAACTTCATAGAAGCTGTTATCTCTGTTTGGTTCCTAGGGGATATTGAACCACCTTCGATGTGCCAAGTATTAACCTCCCCCAAATACCTTCCATACGTCTGTGCTTTATTCTTTGTAGTAATCCTAGCAGTTGCCACTGGCCTGGGTGGTGAGTACAATTAGTTATTCATTAAGTTATTCATTAGTTATTCATTCTCAATTAACCATTCTAATTCTTAATTTTTCATGAGGTTTTTACTTAGAATGGAATTAACCTGCTACTGCCACTTGCTAACTGAAGTATAACGTCTTGCTGGAATGATGGATTTACATTTTATTTACGTGTACAAATAAAATAGATCTGGCACTCATGACAAGACTGATGTAATAATTAGGACACAGGGGAGCCTGTAGGACTTAGAAAACTCTCCAGTCTGATTCCTTTTATTTCACTGATTCCTCTTGAGTCGTGCTCTAAGAATTGAGAAGCCAAGGGGAACTTAAGGTAACGTGCATAGTTTTGTCTTGTAAATCAGTACTTTCACTTTGGTTTCAGAAAACTTTTCCCTATAACAAATCTGTATGAAGGAAAAGAAAGCATAGGATAAGTTCAATTGTGACTGGAAGGTGTGTCCTACCCAGTGGTAGGTGACAAATATGTTGGTGGTAAAGTGGTTCATATCCACAGCTGGAATGAGTAAGGATCTCCTTGCTTTGTTGGTAAGGGTTCACAGCAACTGGAAACTTATCCTGGTGTGGAACATAAACTAGGTTAAGGTAGCTGTGAAAGAGGCAGCATAGGCAGCAAAGCTGTTTCATCCTACAATTCATTACTAATGGATGAGTTTAACAGCACCATGTAGCAACGTCTGGGTTGTATTTCAGAAGTTCCTAGAGTACAGGAGTTGCCTTTGCCTCAGCAAGGTAGAAATACAGCCAGATAATGAAAGCAAGAACGTGTGTTTCATCACCTTGTTTTCTTCCATTCTTGCCAGTCCAATACAACTGCATTGGGAAGTTTCGCTGCCGATCATCCTTCAAGTGTATCCAGAAATCAGCCAGGTGCAATGGTGTATTCAACTGTAAAGAAGGGGAAGATGAGTATGGATGTGGTAATTCAGATGCGATTATAAATCCCTGCTATCTTCTCCTGCAGCGTCTGGCACATTGTTAAGAGAGATGTGTTGTAAAGAATTTCAGTGAGACAGAGGAATATAGACTAATCTCTGCTCTGTGTGACAGCGACAAGCCTGAGAGAATGGCATGGAGCTGTGTCAGGGGAGGGCAGCTGGGGGTCAGGGAAAGGGGCTGCACCACAAGGCGGTGGGCATGGAATGGGCTGCACGGGGCTGTGGGCACAGCTACCAGTGCCAGAGTTCAAGGAGTGTCTGGACAGTGCTCTCAGACACATGGTCTGATTTTTGGGTGGTCCTATGTACAGCCCAGAGCTGGACTCAGTGATCCTTGTGAGTCCCTTCCAACTTGGGATATTTTATGATTTGTGATTAGCACAGACTTTTTTGTCCTGACTGCTATCGTAAGTGTGCCTCAATACATTACCAAGAGGGACACTTGCATGGAAAAACTCCTCTACTAATTCCTTCCTTAAAGTTAAGAAACAAAAATGCACAGAAAAGTTCTGCTAAAGAATCAAAGCGATCAAAAAGACAAGTAGTAAAAACTTCAAGAGCCAGGAAATGTGGATGCCACAGTGGTGCATTACACAGCTGTGCTCATGTTATTGTCCCAATGGTTCTTTGCATCTCACTCAGGCTTTTCTTCCTCTGAATCTCAAAGTCAGGCTGAGTGGCAAGAGAGCTGTGCTGCAGGTGTACACCTCTGGATCGTGGCGAACAGTCTGTTCTGATGACTGGAGGGCAGAGTATGGAAATACTACCTGTAAACACCTGGGTTTCTCAAGGTATGAATGTAAAACAGAAGGAATTTATTTGACATTCTTAACAAATTCTGACATTTCCAATTTTCTTAATGAAACCCTGCATGAGGCCGTGCTTTAAAATAAAAAAGGACTTAATCCTTACTTGTGAATAATATAATTGAGGATAATGTGGGAAACTGTCATGAATATTTGCACACTGAAAATACAGCTATTGCTCCTGTAAATCCTGGATGATGGCAGGATTTGCAGCAATGCAGCAGCAGTGGTTTTGTTAAGTCTTCCCTATGGGCTGCGGGTATCTGAATCCTGCCTGTCTCCCTAGTAACTGCAACCTGTTTGAGAAGCACTGTGCAACATATGACCATTTTCCATTTATTTTCCACATCAGCAGAAAAATTATATGTGAGGTCTGCTCAGAAAGTAATGCCTCTCCTATTTTATGATGTTGGCCCACAACATCAGAGATGGATGTTGGTGGTATGGCGGCAGAGGTTGAACCTTCCCACCAATATCCCATTACATGCTGTTGCCATGTGACAAATGGCAGAAGAGGGACAGTCTGAATAGCGTCTGACACATGGAAGTGTGTATGAAGCAAAGGTGTGTCACTGAATTCCTCCATGTGGAAAACATGGCACCCACTGACATCCGTTGACACTTGCTGAAGATACTTGCCATCCAGTCACAATGAAGTTCTAGCACAACATTAGAATTAAAATTGACTTTCTCTGCCAGTTAAATACCTCTTGGTGTGTGTGACTTCTGACATGGTACCGGAAGAAGAATGCATGCATTATAAAAAGCACTTCTTGGAGGGAGTGGGATGAGTTCACCAAGTGCCATAATCTGATAATTGTGGCTGCTGCACTTGGTTTCCACTAATAGAGGCACTAAATTATTCAGTCGGTTTACTGGAAGTCTGTCTGATGAAGCTGTATTTATGCTTTATTTGCAGTTATGTGAGTTCAGGTTACCTGCCCGTGGCTGCTGTTGAAAAACAGTTTCAAAGACATTTTGTATCCCTCAGCCATTGGTTACCCATGGATCAAGTGACATCCCTGCACAATGCAACAAACTTGAGGTACAATTTAACTTGTTGGTTGAATGACAGAAAGCCAGGTTGTTCATATTGACGGAAAGAGAGAATTTAATGAGCTATTTGACAAAGTTGTCTGTCCCACAGTCCCTTTACAGAAAATGGATAGACACCAGGCACTTATCTTTCTCTAACATAAAGCAGTTCCTTTGAGTTTAGAGACCGATAGCTGTTTCCCAGTGGGAATATAACCCCTCCATTATGTGCTTCTTTATCTTGACAACAGCTTGCTTTTCTTAGTTGCTTTTCACTGAGAAGCAAGCTATGGATCCAAGGAGACACAGATCATGTGCTAAAAGTAACCTCCCATCACAGAAGAGTGAAACACTCTTCAGCAGGACAGCAGTGGTCTGCAGAATCCTGATGGTGTCTAAGCTCCTTCCTTACATGCTTCAGTTAAATGCCTTAAGTAGATTGGATGAGTGCTTGTCTTCTTGTCTCTCTTAATATATGAATTCTATATTTATGTAAACATACGTACTAGGGAAAAAATAGTATTCCTAAATTGTATCTAATACTTTACTGTCTCTTTATCTTAGGGAAGAATGCACTTCTGGCAATGTAGTCATCTTAAAGTGTTTGGGTAAGCATTAGCAAAAATGAGAATAAGATGAAAACCTGTCCTTCATCCACTTCAGAGCAAGAGCAGGGAGGAATTGGATACTCAGGGGAATACTGTCAGTTTTTCACACACAATGAAAAATTGTACTTCTTATACAAAATTTCAGAGAACTTCAGGAGTCCAGAGTAGACTTGGAGGGCAGATTTGGAGTATCACATAGCAAGAATGATTCAGTGAAAATCATAGCAGGAAGTAGACATGTAAGGATTGTGCATTGAATCAATGATCTGGTGCTACAATTCATAGTCTTTGCCATCTTGGCATGGAAAGGGAAATTCTGTCTTAATTCCTGAACTTCAATGCATACCTGTCCATGCCAGCTTGTTTTCCAATTGGGATATGAAAAGTCAGTGGGCGTTGGAGATGGGCTTGCAGATGATCCTGCCGCAGAGACCACCTGGCCTTGGCAGGATTAGGAGTAGAATTCCTAAGGTCACAGAAACTGTTCCCATGTTTCCCCCATGGACTGTAAACTTTGCTTTCTGACAGCATGCGGGATGCGGGCCAGCTACAGGCCGCGGATTGTGGGAGGCAATGCATCCTTGCCCCAGCAGTGGCCTTGGCAGGTCAGCCTGCAGTTCCATGGGCACCACCTCTGCGGAGGGTCTGTCATCACCCCACGCTGGATCATCACAGCTGCACACTGTGTCTACGAGTAAGTCTCTAACATCTTGGGAGACACTGCAGAAGAAGGCTCAAGCACTGCGCTTTGTCCTTCAAAAACCTGCAGAAGAGATTGACTTCTGGTCCTGATTTCACAGACTTTATCCATAGCATTTAAACTGTCTCTCCTTCTTTCTGTACCGGTGCAAATCCTTATGAAAAAGGATCCTCCACAGAAGTGTTCAAATCACACAGCCCAATTTTCAGAAATTCTGGAAACTCTCAGCTGCCTGGGAAATCAACTTAAACAACTGATAAATGTTAAATCATTTATTTAGAATTCAGATCACTGATTTCTCTACTTTGCATATGATTTAATGGATCAGGAGGAATTTTTTACTTGGCTGCTGAGTACTAAAGTACTCAGAAGCTCCTAAGTAAATGACAAGATGCTTTTCAATTTAATAGGATCAATCAGTTTGTAAGCTTTGGAGACAAATGACAACCTAAGAGTTTTCTTAAAGGTTTCTCACTTTCCCCTACCTCTTCATTTCAGCTTGTACTTACCAAGCTCATGGAGTGTGCAAGTTGGCTTTGTGACTCAGCAAGATACCCAGGTTCACACATATTCAGTGGAAAAGATTATATACCATCGAAATTATAAACCCAAGACCATGGGAAATGATATAGCACTGATGAAACTGGCAGCACCGCTTGCTTTCAATGGTAATTCATTGTGTGAGCTGTCACTTGATTTTCTCACTTCTCTAGCTAAGAGCACGGGCTGGGAAGTTCTTTTGGTCTGACACAGGCCATCTGGGTGCATTCTCACTGCCTCTAAAAACATTGAGAGAAGAGCAGCATAAATGTAGTGAGCCTGCTGCTGTGATGGCAAGGGGTCCCTACCCAAATGGCACTGGCTTATTTCCCCTTCATCACCAGCAGTCATAGCATGAGCCTTAGCTACTGTTCCAAGTGCTGTCTCCACATGGCAGCAGAAAGCCTTCCCAGCCCCAACACCAGGAACACTTGTACTCAGTATTCAGGTACAGAGGTACAGTGTGATCACAGGCACTGCAGGTTTCCAATTCATTCTGGTGTTGGCTTGCTGAAGGCATTTAATAATAGGCAAATATTAACTTCATTCTTTCTAAATAATTTTTCCTTTCTAAAATATACATCCCACCTGATTTTTCTTGGACATCACAGAGATTTTTACTATATCCTTACTTCTGTGAGTATAGAGAGGTCCAGCAGTGCCCAAAGCTGAAAATCAATTTTGAATTTCAAAGAGAAGCCAACACAATACAAATATAACAGTGCTTTTGAATTGAAACCAGTCTTATTTTCTTAGTAGGATGCTGTCTGTGGCTGACACTAATCAGTGAGTTAAAATAATTTGCAATAATACTGTATGAATATAAATTATCACCTACCAGTATTTCCTATTCAGCGTGAGCTCTTTCTGCTATGATGGACTGGCTCCCCGGTGCATCTAGATTGTCCATTCCTAAATCAATACTCTTGAAATTGCCCACAGCAGGAAGAGTGTAACTAGATGACCTTTAAGATTCCTTCCAACTGAAGCCATACAGTGATTCTATGATTCTATTCTATAAAATCTTTCCAACTTCCAGTTTAGACAAAAATTCACCTTGAATTTGTTCTGTTTGAAATTTCTGCCACTGCTGTTTTCTTTTGCTCAGGATCAAGATTGTGAGCCTGCCAAGAACAGGAAAAGCTCTGCATCTGAACTGAGGACAAGGGGCAGCCTGGGGAGCCTTGTAGGCTCGATGCTTTTAGCTGGAATCATTGCATAGTGGAGAAGGGTAGTGCTAGGAATTACCCACTATAACATCATATGTTCCTTCCCTTTGTGCAGTGCTAGGCCACCTTGATAGCTTGTAGTTCATCCCGATGAACATCGAACACTAACTGTATTGCACAGCATTCAGTACCCCAGAGCACAGAGGTACTCTAGGTCTATGAGTACATGGATAGGAAGGAAAGAGTACCCCAGACATCGTGCTGCCCTTTCAGAAGACTGCAGTAATGCATGCTTACAGCTCTTTTCACATGCCACTGCACAGAACACATCACAAGGTCCTATACCAGTCATGTTACAGCTAACCATGGCCCTTTTCTCTGGCAGAGCAGCATGCCATGGGGTCTCAATTCTCTGTATCCATCAGCTGAGTACAAGATGTATTTCTTATTTACTCATTCTTCACTTTATTGACAATCCAACACCTCTTTTATTACTTCCTTCTTGATGAAAACTAAGCCAGCTGTAGGTATTTGGCCATAAGACAAAACTTATAGAAGACAGGATATTAGGAAAAAATTATTCTCTGAAAGAGTGGTGAGGCAGTGGCGAGGGCTGCCCAGGGAGAAGACAGAGTCACTGTCCCCAGAAGTGTTCAAGAACCATGTGAATGTGGCACTAAGGGCCATGGTTAGTGGACATGGTGGAGATGGGCTGGTGGTTGGATTAGGTGGTCTCAGAGGTCTTTTCCAACCATAATGGTTCTAAGATTCTGTGATTTTATGATTCTATGAACTACTGAGTTTCTTTATTTGGTGAGTGGATAGTTTTCTTAGAAATTTCATTGCAAGCCATATCCTGAAAGATTTACTCAAGCTTTGACTTTGTGTCAAATTTTGAAAATGATTCTCCCTTCTCTCTCTTGTTCTCTCTCTCTCTACTTTTTTTTTTTTTGTCTTTTTTAACTAGGTCACATAGAGCCAATTTGCCTGCCTAATTTTGGTGAACAGTTCCCAGAAGGAAAAATGTGTTGGGTATCAGGATGGGGAGCAACTGTTGAAGGAGGTATTTTAAATGTCTGCTGTCAGTTACAGTACATGAAAGTATCTCACACAGAGTATAGGATTTGGCTGGAGCAATTGATCAACATTAAATTGTCTGGGATATCTGAGGGGAAGAAGATGACATATCTCTACATTTTATGGTCACCCTGGAAAGGGAATTCAGTCTTTTGCAATATGGGGGGAATGTGAGACAAAAGTGCTGAACTAACTCTTAACATGAGGAATGAATGGGTACACTCTATGAAAAGGATGAAAACCACATGTAGGTGCAGTACCATCTAGGCAGAGCACCCTCCAACCTCTCATGTTTTTTATAACTTCAAGCACACAAAGCAGAGCAGAAATGCAAGAATCAAGCATTCATTTTTTCAAGAGAGAGCATGTCTATTTTCAGGCGAGTTGGATGATAAAGAAATTAGATTCGTGAATTATGTTACAAACAAAAGGGAATATTTTATTTTTAGCATGACTCGTGGGTTACGTTAGTCAATAATATGTACTGACTCACTTCAGAGTGCTTGAATGTTCATGTCATTGTTCTTTATTCATTCTTCATTTGTCTCATTTAAAATGTTCCCGTTATTCAGGGAACAAAATAATAGATAATAGCAAAAGGCGGGAAAAAAGAAAAAGCAATGTTTACCACATAAAAAGATGAGATCTAAATTGGAAGGATAGTGTGCAAGTGTTCCTGTTTGTGGATATGATTCACTGAGACTCTGATGAATACTTGTAAAATAAAACAGATGTTTGCAGGTGATTTGTTGATGAATAGAACAGAGACTAAATTCAAAACAAATCTGTGCACTAGAATTAGAAGACAGCGCCCAAATAGCTTTTAAGTTCACAATTGAAGTAGAAACATACAGCTCACCAATTTTTATTACACACTATGATAGAGCCCAGCTCTATGCAGTCACTAGTTACCAGATTATGTACGTGATGAGACTTACATTACATTTTCATTATAACTACATTTCTCTCACTCTTGCTTGCCAGTTCATATTGTAAAGCATCTTCTGTGTTTCAGTAGAGATTACTTTCAACGATAGAGATAACTTTCAACGTTTGTTAGTTTTTGGTTTTGTTCTGTTTTTGAACAGGTGATACATCTGAAACCATGAATTACGCAGGTGTTCCCTTGATTTCTAATAGAATTTGCAATCACAGAGATGTCTATGGTGGGATCATAACCTCTTCAATGCTTTGTGCAGGTTTCCTAAAGGGAGGGGTGGACACCTGCCAGGTATGGAAGTTTCCAAACTGCAAGTGTGCTCATTAACAGCAGTGATGGAAAAACATGAGTGATAAGCTATCAGAAGGCACTCCCAGGCTTTTCTTGGACAAATATTTGTTTTCTTGTACCATTTACTCTGTTCACCATGAATACAAGCCAGTGACTGTGCACACATTCATGCACTACAATTCTCTCTTTACCTTTCTTCTGCGGGCCATATCTGCTACTTCTGAAGCCAAATTTACTTAAGACATTTTTAAATTTCTTGTATGTGCTACAGTGTGGTACCATCCTTTCCTTGCCCTGACTATGGCCTCTGCACTGCACTGAATTGCACTGTGAGCAGTTCTGGAGACCTGCAAGGTGCAGAAACCCCATAGTGAAAAGCAGCCAAAGCATACATGAGAAGATAAGAAGTGTGGAACTTTGGAAAATGTAGAGGCAGAGGGATGGAAAAAAGGATTTGAGTATCAGTGGATTGCCAATAATTCAGCCCCACACACAGTAATGCAGGCTCACCTAGCTAGTCATGAATGAGGGGCAAAGTTACCAGAGTTACCCAGATACAATCACACAAGGGACAAGACGAAACCAAAGCATGAAGTGCACAAGTTTTCATTTAAGTGTCTGAGGCAGTGACGTTTGTCTTAATTCTTTGTTCTTCAGGGAGACAGTGGGGGCCCTTTAGCATGTGAAGATATGAGTATCTGGAAGTTGGTGGGAACCACCAGCTTTGGAGTGGGCTGCGCAGAAGCAAACAAGCCTGGTGTCTACAGCCGAACTACCTCCTTCCTGGGCTGGATACATGAGCAGATGGAGGTGTGGTTTTGCCCTGTCTCCATCTCCAGCTGTAGCTTTGCTTCACCTGTTCCACATAGGATTCATCCTATATTTGTCACAGATGACTTTTGCTGTATGGCAGTGTGTGACACAAGAGTGAGTTTGTCCTGTAGAAGCTGAGTGGGGAGAGAAGGTGTTGGGAGTGGGGAGAGAAGGTGTTGGCTGAGAGGAAAGCAGAGGCAAAGAAGTGTGGGGATGCTGCAGCCACCTTCACCTACCTGGGTGAGTCACAGCTCACAGGTAAGCTGGCTCTTACGTGTCATTCTCCTACCAAATAAAACTAGTCCAAGCACCAAAGCAGCACAGAGAGGACAGAGGCACCAGTGCTGCTATTCCAGCACCCAATTTACTGAAATGAATGAATGAGCAAATGAATGAATGAATGAGTGAATAGCAGTGGTGATGTGCCAGCAGCAGCAGCGTGACTTCCAGTCCTAACACCTGCCTGTACTGACACAGTGCAGTGTGATGGAATCACTCCTGCCTCATCTTGCTTATGAAATAGGCTAGACTTGCTCTATAATCTGAAGTACTAATGTCAAGCACTCTCAGATGAGAAAATTCAACAAGATTATGTGTGCAAAAAACGAGATTATGTGTGCAGTCTTCGATCAGCTCAGTCTGTATACTGCATGACATGCTGTTTTCACAGTCTGTATTACATGCAAAAGTTAACACTATCACACTGCCCATCTGCCACTTGACAAAGCTAGAGAAGATAGCATAACATGCCCAAAGCTTTCAGACCTCTGGTATTCTTCCCCTCCTTTCCCTTCAGTATCTTTGGCATTGAGTTTCCTCTACATCTAACCATAGGTTCCAGAAATGGCTGGCATTTTGCATATTCAAGATAAGTGAAGACATTTCAGATGAATGTCATATATGGTGAAGTAATCAAGAGGGAAAAAAGTACAGTTTAATATTTGTTTGGCTAGATGCTAACAAGTCATAATTTTTCACAGGGACATTCTTCAGGTTAGACATTTATTCATCCTCCTCAAAAAGATTGTCAGTTGCAGCACAGAAACACAGACACTTTGTAATGTAATCTGAAAGAAACCAAAAGAAAGTAAAGATAATGTAATGTGAACTTCGAAAACAAGACCACAGTTCTGATCTGCTCTTAGCTGCTATTGCACACCATGGATTGGGGTTCATTTGGTATTTCCAGAAGTTCCTTTATGTTCTTCACACTAACTTAACTATTGTAGTTAAGGCTTACCAAAGAGGCTGGGAGAGGGATCCATTTTGATCTAAGATATGTAAAATAGCAAGATAAGGAGCTTGGTCATCAGCTTGCCCTTTAAATGCTTTCTTTCTGGAAATTGACACTGTGACAGTTCAACTCTCAGGACTGTTCATTTAATGCCAGGCATAATCAAAGAGAAGGTATTTGCATTTTCTGATCTTCCATTTCCCAGTCTAAACCCCGAGGTAAGCGCTTCTGCCTCGCAGATTTTTGGGAGCATGCAAATATTTTGTTGATGACTCTCTCTTGTGAGGGAAATGGAAAGTTTTCTACTGCTTTCCTCTAGGAGTGAAAGTTAGATGATGTTGCTTATCAAAGTGTTCATCCAACATTGTGAGCGTAGTTTCTCTTGCTTCCATTTTGAAGTGCTAGGGGAGGAAGCAAAGTTTGTAGTGCAGAATGGGAGTACCATTGGTCTACATACATTACCATCTGAGATCTACTATGCTTTAGCTAGTGCATCTGAATAGGCATGAAAGATTCCCACCCCAGGAGAAAGAAAAATGAAAAAAAAAAAGAGAAAGAAAGCAGCAATGGAACAACTAAGAAGAAACAAAACAAACCCCTTCAAATCTTACTTAGCTCCTTGTATGCACTATCCCACGCACAGTGTCTGCTGCTGTTGCTAATATATTCCACCATCCCCCATAACCATAATTCTTTTCGAATCTTCTGTTCCTGTCTCAGCCTACACAAAGTTAGCAATCAGTGAACTCAAGTGGTGAGAGAAGCCGATGGCATTTCCTCAGATTCACAGTACGTGTGATGGGAGTTGCACCCCATCAGGAGGAGACGGTGTATTTTTGTGAAGAACAAGCACAACCATTCAGATGGCAGAATTGGCTCCAGCAGACTCGTGGTGCCATTGGTTCAAACGGAAGCAAGCAGAATACATACATTATTGGTTTTGCTTTCTAGAGAGAAGAGTTGCAGACCTGAAGGGCATGTTGACTTGCTGGGCTTTTGGACATCCATGCTCCCCCACAGAAGGAACTACCACACTCTTCTGGACACCTGCTCTGAGCTCTGTATCTTCATGGGCTACTTTTAATAATTTTTTTTTTTTTTTGTACTGGTAACTGTACTTAAGGAAAACTGATGCACATTTAGCCTCTTTTGGATGGATGAGGCAGTTTCATTCCGGGTGATAGGCGTGTGCATTCACTGTCAGCTAGTAATTTCACACATCAAAAAAGTGCTAAAACCGATAATCCAGAAAGCTGCAATAACATTTTGCAGGCACCATGTGTACAAGTCTACAGGAACTTCAGATCAGGTTGCTTCCTACTATTTTGATACTTCTCTTCCAAGGATCAAGCAACAAAAATACTTTTTTTCCTGAAAATATCCACATGTAAAGCTCAAGCTGCTTTGCAGGTACCAGCAGCTTTCATTATAGCCGTAAAGCAAGTAGGAAGCAAGCAGCCGGCAGTTTTGGCACACATTTGGCAAGTATGTTCAACTCTTGTTAGAAAAAAAATCATAGGATTCAAGTCTTACCTCATGTGGATGTGAGCAAAGTCCCTAAAGTGGAATTCTTAAGTATTTTGTTGCTGTAAATGGCTTGGAAATGAGCGATGTACAGACTGTAACTACTGAAAAACTCTGACATCGCTGAACAGTCTTAAAGAAAAGAGGAGCTGAAGTGCTGCTGTGGTTTCCTGTTTTACAAGCCATGTTAATACAACAACGTCTTGTTATGTTGAAAAATGCCTCATCATTTTGTACTTGTTCTTTGTTAAAATCCTGGGATGCAAGTTATTAGAATTGAGTTCTAGGGGCTAGGTAGGCTGAATAACACATAATGTCAGAAATTTTCAGTACCAGCCAAAACTGATCTTATCAGGTGATCACATGCTGCTGATCTGCTTGATATGTGGTTTTGGAGGCAGTTTTGTTTGCCTGTAAATCAGTATCTGTATCACAAATGCCACTCCTCACAGCTGCAAGAAAGCACTGGTGAAATGAGATCTGCTTTCTCACTGCAACACATTGGCTGTAAATTGAGAGCGAACAGTAAACCAGCATGAACTGGCAACCTCCCCACTGCTCTGAGAACACTGAGTTTATACCCAGAGGTCACTGCACCAGTACCCTTCTGTGTGGCTAAAAGACCTGCAGTGCTGTAGGAATAACAGTTCCAGGGACATCACGTTGGAAGCAAGAGGGAAGTGCCATTGCAAATCTGACACAAAACTTGGAATAAAATGGGAAATTTCAACTTGAAAGAACTTTGACAGACTTAAAATGAAATATGCTGAATCCTTGTGTAACTAATAGGTTTTCAGAAGTGTTTTATTGCTCAGTGCTTGTTTTCATAACACTTTCACTGCCACAGTATGGCGCATATATGATATTGTCAGCAGTCTGGAGATGAGGGGATTGCTCTCAGTTCATAGATTAGTTATTTCATTATTTCTGAAAATACCCCTGAAAAATCCTTTTGAATTATTCTATTTCCATAAAAAGACTACATCCACTGTGCTCTGCTTTATATTTTAGAGAAGTCCAATGTAAACCATGGAGAAGTCTTCCAGACAAGAAGGCACATTATCCCCTAAATCAATGATCATCAGTGATGGATGCCCAAGATCTCAGAGCTGCAGATCTTTCTTTGTCATGGCCCTTCCCATGGTGTCTCAGGTAGAGGAAGAATGTAATCACAAAAGAGTCACTCCAAAAAGCTGGATTTTCCTATCCCAACCTACGCCATTAATAAGAATGCCAGAGGTTTAAAAATAACTTTAATCACAGTACTAACATATTTCTTTGTGTTAAGCCAGGTGGAGATACATGGAGGTTTAGAACATTTACTGTGGGAAGAGTTTTGTTACAGAGATGGCCATTTCCATCTCTCTTTTATTTAAAGAGAGGTAGGATCAATGAGGTGGTCTCTAGGGAATGAACTAGCAGACAATAAAGTACCTTTTCAAAGAGATGATACAACCACGTGCCTGTTCTTTTCCTTGAATTTTCTTCTTCCTGACCAATGAAAATAATTAGTTACATCACATGTTTATGTACAGAGGTCTGCCAAAGCAGTTGGAGATGAAGGCAGCTCTCATTAACTACTTTTGATTAGGAGTTTCACGGCAAACACCTTGGAAATATTTAAGATCTTTATTCTAGAGGAGTGTATATCTACTGCATTATTAAAGAGGCTGATGAAACAGCTTCTATCTTGTGAACTCACATCACCAGTCAAAACAGCTGCTAAGGAAGGATTACATTACAGTCATAGTATCCCTTAGAAATACAACCTATTTTGCACCACCCATTTAGCAAACTTGCACCAACAGCAAGCATCTCAGAAAATTCTGTAAAACTTCCAATAAATATCTAGCATATGAAAAACAATATTTTACCATCTATCACCTGTTCTTGTCATCGTGATATTTGTCCTAAAACTCAGACAAAGTTAATAAGTTTGGATGAACTTTTCTTCAATGTGCGCTTTTCCCAGATGCTCCAATAACATCACTTTTCACTTATGATGCATAAATAGAAAGACAGTTTCTGCCATGATACAGAGATTAGCATAAGAACAATTGTGTGAGCAAGCTTGTGTTTCTTATGTTCAAGAAAGCAGAAGTATTTCCTGAGGCTTTACGTGCTTTCATATGGTAACACATCCTGCACCAAGAAGCAATCACTGCACAAGGAGGGGAGTATGAAACAGAGCTGGGCTCATAAAGCCTTTCTCACTGTCGAGATTCATGTAAGGCTCTAAATACAAATATAATAACAGCACATTAAACTTAAAAAAAGAACAGATTTGGCTCATCTAACTTTTGATAGTTTTCAACACCCAGCTTCTATCCTAACTGCTGCACTGTAAATCCAGCTATTGTGATGACAAACCTGGGTCGATCATTGGAAGGGGTATGTTCTCCAGTATCTTTGTGAGTGTACTACTGTTTCAAGGTATGTGGATCAAGTTTCTTTTCTTCAGCAAAAAGCCCTGTGAAAAGCAGTATCACACCTGTGAGCTGCAGAAACCTGCGATTACATAGAGCACAGTAAAAAATGAGCTTACTTCAGGTGTTTAACTTTAGGGAAGGTATAAGGAAGTGTTTCTTATCTAAACTGAAAGAGCACACTTGATCATTGCCTTTCATCTCTGTTTTTATGTGTTTTACAAGATGAAGGTTTCCAAGTTTGTTTTCTTGCCTTTGCCACATGATTTTCTCACTGGTGGAGCTCCACAGCAATGTTGCATCCCCAGCATTGGCACTGGTTAGCCAGGCAGGATTTTGAACTCCTGGCTCCGAAATTTGGCATGCAAGAAATAAAAAAGTTGTTATGGGGATGGCAGAAAACAGAGTAATTTTTGCTAAAGAATACTGAGTCTGTACCTGATTCATTTTTCAAAGAGTTCTTTGATAGCTGCCAGCCTGAGCAGTATGAATATGGAAAGCAATATGAATGTTCCAACAGACAAGAGGAAAAAAATTAATAATCTCCCAACTATTACTGCTGAAGTGTATTTACACAAGGGTACTGCAGGTTCAGGACTTGAAGCTGAGCTGTGAGCCTGGAATCACTACGGGCACCTACGCTGTGTCCATATTGCCAGGGCTGGACACAGCTGTACAGCTGAAAACAAGGTTCACAGAATGAAGCAAAAAATATATATTTTAATCTATTAGCAGAGACTTACATAAATGTAAATTAGCTGCAGCAAGAAGGATCCTATCCTCTGCACCCATCTTTTAAGGTCCCCTGCCAAGCCTGGTGCAGGGCTAGCTGGTGGGACTATGGGAGTTTGGGGCTCTCCTGAGAAAGGATGTCCTTGCATGGGTTTTGCTTGATTAAACTCAAATGACTGCAGAGGGCAATAATGGGGACAAGGCCTTCTTTTCTGAGACATAGTTTTAAAATAGATGTGGTCACCCCAAAGTTTTCGAGTGAGAAAGGAAAAGTAGTCAGAGAGTGAAAAATGAGGAGAGAGGTGTAACTTAAGGCTGTCTTGAAGCTCAGCAGCATAAATTACTTGGGAAGGGAAATCATCTGCACTTAAAATCACCAGTAAACTGTAATTCCTTCCTAGGGGTTTCTCCTGCAGATCTCTCATTTGTTTGAGCATCCCTATCCTCTGCAGCATTGCCTCCATCAGCACCGAATGTGAAAGGCTCTGGATAATATTCATCCCACAGCAGATGGCAGCATACATCACAATTTCGCCTACATCCTCCGCTCAGCAGAATAAATAAACGAACAAACGTTTATTTAAACTTTCAGCGACCTTCCCTTTTACTGACATCAGACTAGGAGAGTATCACAACCTGCAGGCCTCAGGTGAAAAACGTCTGCTACAGAATATATTTTGGTACGGAGGCCCAGTGCTAAGCACTTACAGCTGTGTGTAGACATCCATCAGACAAGTTAATTTTAATAAACCCTTAAAGTTAGTGGGAAAATGGAAATGTAGGCTGGGTGCAGGGAAAGCAGGTGGTCTGTTTACAATTTTTTTTCCTTTATCTCAGCCTCCTTGCTCTCCCAGTGGAAGGCTGAAGACAGGATCTCCATCCCTGCCTTTTGTAGTGCTGTGTCCCCATGTCCACCACACACATACATCCATCTCTGTTTTTTATAGTTCCTCCCTGCAGTGCCCCTGGATCCTGTCTACCTCTCAAGACCTCTTTCTCATCTCACAAGCCCTCTGCATTCTCCACCCACCCATGGTATCCCTGTATAAAACACCTTCCCTCCCCTAAATGCCTCTGATTGTTCTTCATGTCCCCTTCCTATGGCAACCTCATGATTTCCCTGCTCCTTTCTTCACACGTGGTAGATCCCAGTCCCCTGCTCCAGGGCGTGGGGCCATGTGCAGAACCTGCAGAGACCATGACATCCAGAAACCAAGCACCTCTCTTTCTTACAGCCCCCACAACCCCTCTGGCCAATCAGATAAAAAGATTTGGACCAACAGGTTGAAGAACTTTATATTGTTATTCATTTCCAACCCCCCTTCAGGACACTGCTGCTTCCCCCTGTTTCACCACCAGTCTCCAATTGTCTATATTGTTGATAGAGATGTTAAAGAGCACCAGACCTACAGCTGACCCCTCAGGGACCCCTCAGGGACACTGGCCTCCACTTGGACATAGATCTGTTGACCACAGCCCTCTGGGTACCACCATCCAACCAATTCTTTATCCACCTGACAGTCCAGCCTTCAAACCCATATCTCTCCAATAAGGATATGGTGTGGGACCACATCAAAGGCCTTTTACAAGTCTAAGTAGATGACATCAGTTGCTCTTCCTTTGTGCACCTATGCTGTCACTCCATCACAGAATGTCACCAGATTGGTGAGGCATGATCTGCCCTTGGTGAAGCTGCACTGATGATCTCAGATTGCTTTCTCATCTCACATGTGCCTTAAAATATCTTCCAGAAGGATCTGCTCCATGATCTTCCCAGGTACAGAAGTGAAGCTCACTGGCCTGCAATCTTCCTTTCTCCCTTTTCTAAAACTGAGCATACAGACACACACTCTGCCCAAAGACTAAAGGCGGAGAAGAGCAATGCAGGCTGTGATCAGATTCATCTGAAGTCTGGGTGGTCTCTGGTGGATGTGTGGGATGGCACTGCGCATGGTATGGTGCTGGGACAAAGCTGGACAGAAGGGTATTGATGACATTTCTCTGAGGCTGGTGTGACGCAGTGCAGAGACAGCTTCTTACATAGCAGTGAATGACAGTGAACAAGTGTGTTTTGGTAAGGTCAACCTGCACACTTCCCAGTGGGTGAATTGATTACAGAAATGAGTAACCAAAAACTTATTTTTTTCCGAATC